AAGGTTATGATTCCAATCAAGTTATTAACATGTAATATTCAAAGTATTATTTGCCTTTATAAACCATAATAAATCCCCCCACCTTTCCTTCCCCACCCTTCCTTCCCCAGGGTGTAAACGTGAGACCCTAGGGTCATAAACCTTAAGACTAAGACCCTTCCATCTATGGAGAGTATTTGATTCTACCATATCTGGGTCTTGAGAAGAAGATTTTTGAAATTTTAGTCAATTTTTTTGGCCCCGCCCCTCAGTCAGGGCTGATATGTGCATACTATCAAACTGCTACCTAATACTGATAATGCTAACCTAAATTGAATTACTTCCAATGGAAATTAAACAAATGTTGGTCCAAAATGTGATTTCCCTATATAAACTATAGTAAAGTTTACCCCCTCCCCAGGGGAAAACGTGAGACCCCAGGGTCAAGAAATTCACAATTTTGGTAAAGCACCTTAAGACCCTTCCATCTATGAAGAGTAGTTGATTCTACCATATCTGGGTCTTGAGAAGAAGATTTTGAAATTTTAGTCAATTTGACCCTTTTTGGCCCCGCCCCTCAGGCCCCTGGGGGCTTGGGACTAAATCGGCAACTATTTTTGTTGACCTTTGTCCATGGAAGGTTCCTGCAAAATTTCATTGAAATTGGTTCAGCGGTTTTGGAGAAGTCGAAAATGGAAATTGTTTACGGACGCACGACGGACGACGACGGACAAAAGGCGATCGCAATAGGTCACTTGAGACTTTGTCTCAGGTGACCTAATAAAAGCTGCTCATTTTCGTGATAGTTGTTGGCATTAAATTTTGTAATTGGTTAATTAAATTAACATTCGAGATATATGGAATGGCTTTGGAGACGACTGGAAAACTTCCAAAATGCCGATTTTGTAATTTGTTTATCTGTTGGACGAACAGCTGTATGTTAATTTGCATACTATATCGGTCGCCAAGTTTTAAAGGTGCAACATTTGTGTGTACAAACATGTTTTTTTTAGAAAATGTAAAAGTTTTAGGGTCGTTGTCCAGAGAAAAACGGAAGTTTAATCGAATCCTGTTCATGGTAACAGAAGATATTGGAGATTAGAAAGGGCACATGACCCTTTTTAAAGGTTAGTTATACTTTGACCTAAACTGAAGAGTTCATAGTAATTTTTACGTTTTTAGGTTTAGATGAAGTTTCGATAAAATATGCCATCACAATGCTGGATACAATCATTGCGTACGGATTTTTACCGAAAGTTGATCAAAACCCATAAAACGTTAAATTACCTTAATTTAGGTCCAATATATATATATCATGTCCCGTTGATGTAGGGATTTGATTGACACAGGTTTTGAGCGGTATACAATATGCTTTTTATGTTATGAAACTCGTTAATATTGTTATTTAGGGCGTTTCCATGGTTACAAGGATTCTTTTTAAACCCAGAATTAGCAAGACTGATGTACAAACTTAATCTAAATGTCGTTTTGGTGCCAAATTTAAATTTCCCCAAAACGCATTTTGCAGGGGTAAAAACATATTGTTCCCTTCATGGATTTAAATGACAATAGTTACAGGTTCTATGAAAGATTGAACTTGTGGTTAACTAAGTGGCAGATTTTATTTGCACATTTTTTTTTTTTCGGGGGTCAAACCCAGCGGAAACACACTACTCCTTCCTGGAACAAATGGTCTCCATGGCCCTTCCTATAGGGACGGGGAGGTAGAACCTGGGTTGTTGTGGTGTAGTGTCCAGTCATTTATCTATCTGGATTTTCTTTCTTTTTTTTTTATTTCCAAAATATTGTGCCGAGATTGAAAAATCAAATAATATATTTGGATTCTATAAAATTATGTTAATTGTCTGCAAGGTGAAACATGAAGTTCACAAGTCAGGCTTGTTTTTCATATATATTTCTAAAATTTGAAAGCAGTGTTTGCGACTTATCTTCAATTTTACATGAATCAAATACCACTCGATTAAAATTCTCAAGTCCTTGTATTTCTGGTCCGAATTAGGCCTAAATCGCAAGCTCATGGTTGCTTGCAAGTTTGTAATGTTTAACTATTGAAAATATACGTAGACAGGTCGAACATTTTGGCTCAATTGCTCATTATGGTGCCATGTACACAATAATCTGAAACTCTTCCTTCTTTGATAGTTTAGTCGCCCATATATTGTCCAATCAAAATCCATCAGAACTAAATCATCATCTCTAAATATTCCAGTCTAGTAATTGTTCTGTCCTGGCTCAAATAGCATTGGGTTATTTTTTACTGTTTAGCATGCAAGGAAATATGTTCTAAATTGCACTCGTTTCCTGTTACTATCAATGGTGAAATTGAGCACGAGAATGTGTACGTGCGATATTTCCAGAAATGTAAACAACACTTGTACTATGCCTGTACAGGCTTAAATTGTCCTATAATCTTCATGAAAACTATGTTTCTCATAGAAATATTGTTTTTATTTTGATTAGAGAAACAATTTGAATCACAATAGAAGATGACTTGTTAAAGATTATGACATGACGGCATAATTAAATTTTGCCCAATGAAATAATGTCAAGTGTATTACCTGCTAGCGAGTAACTAAATACATTATACCAACTCCTAGTAGGTTTTTAAGGGAGTCCGGAGTTTGCCCTTTCCAGGGAAATCAGAATTATTGAAAATAATATTATTATTGTATTTGTTTATTATCATGCTACAGCACAATTTTAATTCACATTAGAGTACCGTGTATATTTAAACTTTCAATTTTTAAGTCTGATTTAAAACAGTTTAGTCTGAAAGAATTACCAGTTACATAATTAAAGTGTATACTGAAGATACAATATTGTCCCACTAAAATTGATGAGGGAACTGGGGTGAATTACAAAGCAAGGGCTATAAAAATGAGCTCAAAGCACCTTTGGCTTGTAAGCAGCATCATATCAGAAACACAGTTACTTGGTTATTAAATAAAATCAACAAATTGGTTCTTAATCCAATTAAGTTTAGCTTTACAAAGATGAGGTACTTTTTCAAGTTTTAACAAGTTCTTGGATAGCAATTTAGTAGGACATACTGGTATCCAATATGCATATCTTTATTGTTTTCGGAGATCAGTAGATATTCAAAAGCTTAAGTGTCCAGATAAATATATTTAATATACAACTCTCAGCTGAAGTTCACTTGGGAGTTTCGGTGAATAAAATTGATGTCTGTGTAATTGTGGACGACACTCGTTTTAATTAGAAAACTACAGTAAATGGGTATGCGTCTCTGATGCATTAAATATATTTAATTCCAAATAGCACAGAGAAACGTAGTGTTCTAATTGGAAAGACAGGTATTTTTTTTTTATTATTGTCCAGATTGATGACAAAGTTGCCATCAACTTATTTTACATATAATCCAGGTAAACCTTATTTTGTATGCTTTACATAGACAATTTCTAAATACCCTGATAAAGCAACAAATTGTATTTTTAGAACAAAAGATACCAGATATTTTGGCTGTACACTCTTCATCAGTTCTATGTCAGTTTGATCTTATCTGTTTGATCAAGTCATGTTAACAAAACAGTAAATGCACATTAAGGTAACTTTTGATCTAAACTTCATACTGCTGTGCATAAAAGAAAAACTTCAAAGTGAATTTGTCGTTTCGCATACTTACTAGTACAGAACTTAATGTGAAAGAAATGGGACTGAACCAAATGTCAAAATCTAAGATGACCACCTGTGGCCATCTTGTTTTTGCAATCTGTGTGAATTTAGTCACAATTATGTCCCAAGGAGAACCTTAATATTGATTTTGAGAAATATCTGTTGAGCACTTTTTGAGAAAAAGTAATGACAAATTCTTATTATCAAAATCCAAGATGGCTGCCATGTTGTTTTTCCGATCAGTCTTGTATGAAAAATGCACTTATAGGGACCAAGGGAAATCTTCATATGAAATTTTAAAAAGATCTGTCGAGTACTTTTTGAGAAATAGCAATAACAAACTTTTAATTCTCAATATTCAAGATGGCTGCCTGGTGGTCATCTTGTTTTTATGATCACTCTGAAAAAATAAAACATACGTATCAAACTTATGCCAGATCAAAAATGTTTAGAGCCCCCCAGGACTTCCTAACAAACCTTCATCGTCAAAATCGACGATGGCTGCAGGTCGGCCATTTAGTTTATCCGATCAGTCTCAGAATATCCATGCACAACTAGGGACCAAGAGGAACATGCATATCAAATTGGAGAAGGATCCTTTCAGTACTTTGAGAAATAGTGAGAACAAAAATTGTTAAAGGATGGACGACAGCCCTCTATCTGATGAAAGAGTTTAGACCCAAAAGATATAATATTCAAACTAAAGATACCCAGAACAGATTTGTTTCTACCCTTTCACTAATGGAGAGTGTAAAGTTCTTACCATATTCTGAAAGCAGGGAGTTAGTTTATGTAATATTAATTAATTTCCAAAAACTGCCGAGTGTTTGAAGGTTAACACTAGAAATAACTGTTGAACTGGGAAAGATCGACTTGACTTCCTATTGTCCTACATATAACTTACCGACAACATTCGGCATTTTTTGCATTGTTTTACGGCTGAACAGACTGCTTCAGGGCAGGCCAAGCATCACAATAAGTTCTATACTTACAAACCTGTCGGACATTAAATGATTTCGAGAAAAAAAAAAATGTGCCAAAACTTGTACTTTTCATCATATTCCTTACCAGAACCTATGTACCAAACTGATTTATAAGTTGGTATATACTGGTAACCTTGGATACCAACACCACCCTGTTTTCCCGAACATCAAGGCCAGTCTGCTTGTCCACATTTATCTGAAACATATCTCTACAAAACAACCACAAAGTTACAACAAAGAAATATCATACTGTAACAAGTCATAAGTTTTATTCAATACAACAAATCAAATCAAATGATAAATGATCTACATTCAAACCATCAGTTCTTTTGGAAGAAAAGGATTTAAAATGCAGTACCAACTGTATTTACAAATAGTTAATTAAACAAAAATACTACATATATCATGGTATGGTAATGAAACTAAACACTTTCCTATATCTAATATATACAGTTGTTGAAAAAGAAAACACCTTTGTTTTTCAAACAAGCACCAGAGAATTTATGTTTACAGACTATATAGCACTAATAATTTTGTCTGGCTTTTCCTTCTCCAAAATAGTATACTAAATCAACCTTTGACCTACCACCTTTTTCAATACTACCATATTCCTTTTACACTTTGTTCACTCTTGTTTGAGCTCTGCAGGCCACAGGTTAGCTGAATAGTAAAAATTAATAAATCAGTCATGATCTTCTACCAAAAAAAAAATGTAAGCAAAATGTTTTCAAAAACTTAACAGGAAAATAATGAACCATGGAATGAACAAATCTACAAATGTTCAAGAGAAATCACCAAGTTTAAACTTGAAAGATAATCAAACAACTTTGCTTACACTTAATTTTCCACATTCTACGTTATTTCACACCATATTTGTATATATACATGTATACACATTACACATGCAACTTAAATAATTTAATATTACAATTCTTTTCAGAAATGTTCATTCACAATATACTGGATATATACTGTGCCCTAGCCTCCCCAAAGATCCCCAGCGTACAAGGGACCTTACCAAATAAGGCAAGTCCAAGGGTGCAATGGACAGGGTCCCAGGGCTTCTTCACAAGGCAAACATCACTCGAGAGCAGCATCTGTGAAAAGAAAACTAAAGATACTCATCAGTAAAGGTCTGCTAAAACTTAATGCTTAACTAGCAGGAACCAATTTGAAAAAATAAAGATTTCAGAGTGGATATGAATCAATTATATGGTATTACCAATTTACCAACTTGCAATCTCGATGAATTTCTACCAGATATTAAAAAGATACTGTGGGCTGTTTCAATGAATAACTCTATAATATCAAATTGGTTCAAGCTTTACATTGTGGTTTGTTTTGTCATTAAGATCACTTTTATAAACAGTTTCATATATATAAACAGTTTCGTATATATATATATAAAAGCAATTTTCACTTTCAAATAGTGTTGATTTTTTGTTACAGCATAACAGTAAACATTATGATACTGTTATACCACCTGAAAAGTCGTTGCATGGTCCCCTCAACGTCTGTTGTGAACTCGCACGTTTCTCTCTAGAATCATCAACACTTCCTGGAATAGGGCCTGAACAGACCGGTCTATTTGTGACGATTCACGCATGTTGTTAGCAACATGATTTTCAAAAACATCTGTAAAGTCTTCATTGTGTTCACGAGTCATCAGCCAACTTTGCGTTTTTTGAGCAATGGGAGCAGAATTCCAGCGATGCATGTCCTTTGTCTACATGTAAGCAAATACCAGCTGTGGAACAGTTCCTTTTTGTACATCTGTCAGTATCCTGATGTTCTATGTAGTCATGATCAACAACGGCACTACGCTTTCTTCTATTGAAAGACGTTGAAAGGGTTACATTCTGCACATTCGGAATATTTTGCAATAAACTGGACAAAGCACTTTGATTAGCAAGCACACTTTTCAGATACTGTACTTCATCTTCCAACACTCGTTGGCATTCCTCCATTCTGGTCTGGTTAACTTTCAAAGCATCATTTTCAGCACGCAACTCATCAACAGTGTCCTCCAGACTTTTTATAAAAACCTTTTTCTTTTCTCGGTTGATTTTTGCCTGAATAGCATTTTTCTTGTTTAAGTTAGTCAGAGCTTCAACGACTTCACCATCAGAGTCAATATGTTGGTTTGATGAAAGAACTTTTATAACTTTGATCTTTGGTGCTGGTGTAGGCAGAATTGTCTTGACCTGCAGTTTTGATTTGTTTTCAATTGTAACAGGTTTTGTTTTGGGTGTAGTCATCACCGTAACATTTCTGTCTCTGAGGATACGCACATGGTTCTGTATACTCGATCCTTTATCATTCGATGTTGCATTTGTAGCAGGTGCATTATCATTGTTTGTGTCACGATCAGAAACTCTTTCAACTGCTGTCGTTGTTTCAGGGCTTGGTGTTCTGGATGAAGATGAAAGATAACCCATTAGTTGAGCATCATCAAATATTTCAAAACCGGGACTGTAGACAATGTCATTATCACTGCACCTAGACGCCAGACTCTCGCTTCCCATGCTCATACCACTGTCTGACTGGTGACTCGGCGAGTTCTTTAGAGCTTCAAGTTCCTCGTCAGGAGAATCCTCGGATGATGGGACACTGCCAAAGTTGAAATCTACGTTGATCATTCCACTCTCCAGAAGTTCATCTAACAAACAAACATCAGACTCGGGTGACAACAGCATTGAACTCATTTTGAACCAAGAAGTTAGTGTACATGCAATATTCCCAACTTTTTGTTTCTATTATGCTAATTTAAAACGATAAAGAAGGAAAGCAGAGAATAATGTTCTCTACAAAAGTCTGCTTACAATGTTAACATTTAATTATGATATATTCAAATATATCACAATGGCTACCCTAGTATAAAACGTCATTGAACGTGGCGGCGAGCAAGTTGTCAAAAACACACGAATTCGAGAACAGATTTCTACCTACGAATTCAGTCAAGATGATACATACATATAATCAAAGTCTCCAATAATGCTTTGATTCAATAAATTTGAAACAAAACGATGTTCACGTTTACCTAGTAGACAAGTCTGTAACAACTCTCCGTGGTCTATCCTCCAGCGATATTCTGTTTCTGACGAATAGCGTAGGAAAAAGTTTTTATATACCATGCAAAACGTCTGACGAACGTTTCCTTCGATCAGCGTTTAATACTTGGTTTTGATTGGCCAGCTGCCTACGCCTCTTCTTCCTCATTGGTTCTCGTAAAAATAGGAATTACGCACAGGGAATTCCCTCTACGTTCGAGGGTCGTTCCGAAGTCAATAAAACGCTTTAAAACCGATTTACACATCGTCTGCGTACGCCAAGAAAAAAGATTTTCGAAAGAGACATTGAATTACGATGGAAATCAATTGAGATGTAGTGTGTTTTTATCTATCAGTAAAACTTATATTAATGCTTTTATTTTGACTTTTCCATATTTGTTTTTCGTGTCAAGTGATAGATCTTCCTTTTGGCCAATGGCAACAGGTTTTAATATTAGCCGCATTGCAACAGGATGCAGACATGTGTGTATAATATTTGACAAGCTGGAAGTTAAACTTCCTCTTTTTATTGTGGTTCGTCATTACATAACATTATATAATGGATTTGTACATCATTTGTTACTGACTCAACTTGTTTCACGTTATTTGATGCGTATTTTCTATTCTCAAATGTTTTTAATTTTCTGTTGTGAATTTATCGTATTTTTATGAACATCCTCTGAACATTACCTGCGATACCAAACAAAATCTTTGTTTCACTTTCGCTACGCAGTTGAATAGAGGGAATACAATAACTTACAATTACTTATACGGTTAAAAGGAACACAATATTTTCCCGTCGAAAAAAATTACACGGAAAGTAAGTAACAACAAATTTCCTTTTCACAAACAGGGGATGAAAAATACAACAGTAGGTGTCTAAATCAATCATAGGTGGTGGGCACGTCTATCAAAATTTTTTTTGAATAAATAAAACTAGTCTTACCTATCTATTCAAAAAAAATTGATAGACGTGCCCACCACCTATGAATCAATCGATACTTATATATATAGTAAGATTTCTGCGCTATTACAGATATTTCGATAATTTGAACTTTCTGATTCGACGCGATGAATACCATCAAAAATGTATTGATAAAAATAGATCGATGCAAAGGTGTTTGAAATTCTGACTGTAAGTTGAGCTGTTGAGATATATATCATACAAAAAAATAAGGGTACTTTTTCATAGTAATACCCTTACTTTTTTATATGATACATATCTCAATTTACGATCAGAATAGTTAATTGGTCGAGAGTGCAGAGCCAGAAGTTCAAAGTTCGACTCCCAGTCTGAGCATGCGTTTTCCCTACCAATGCTGTTACAGTGGTGCCATTGGCCAACCTTTGTTTCAAGTAATGTGTGTATGTTTGGTAAGGGGATATAACTGAACATTTTTTGTGAATATAGTGTTGTCTCCTTTTCATTTTAACTAAGAAAAAGGAAGGAGGAATGCAGCGGAACCGGACTGGGATGATCACTAGCACCTAGGTAGTTTACTGGATATAGAGCATCCTCGTAAAGTTCGGAGATCCGGGGCCAACTCCTCGTCTTACTGTACATCTCCCCCTCCTGTTACAAATCTGTCAATGATTGGTTTTGACTGAATTCCAACTGAAATGATTCAATGCTTATATTTACCATCTTTGAAATATTATAACACATTAAAAATAAGATTATTAAATTAAACTCGGCATTCAGTCCAAGTAAGTGCATGTAATTTGTACAATAACCATGCTGGTTTAATGAATATAACAGCCATGATTCAGGGAGGGTTATTGGTATCCAATGTCATGATGTCATAAGAAAGATTGCATCAACAATACTGGTTGTAGATGTGTAGTATGATACAATTCTGGTTGTAGATGTGTAGTATGATATAGTACTGGTTGTAGATGGGTAGTATGATATAGTACTGGTTGTAGATGGGTAGTATGATATAGTACTGGTTGTAGATGTGTAGTGTGATATAGTACTGGTTGTAGATGTGTAGTAGGATATAGTACTGGTTGTAGATGTGTAGGGTTATACAGTACTGGTTGTAGATGTGTAGTATTATATAATACTGGTTGTAGATGTGTAGTATGATATGGTACTTGTTGTAGATGTGTAGTATGATATAGTATGGGTTGTAGATGTGTAGTATGATATAGTAATGGTTGTAGATGTGTAGTATGATATAGTAATGGTTGTAGATGTGTAGTATGATATAGCCCTGGTTGGAGATGTGTAGTATGATATAGTACTGGTTGTAGGTGTGTAGGGTGATACAGTACTGGTTGTAGATGTGTAGTATGATTTAGTACTGGTTGTAGATGTGTAGTATGGTATAGTACTGGTTGTAGATGTGTAGTAGGATATAGTACTGGTTGTAGATGTGTAGTGTGATACAGTACTGGTTGTAGATGTGTAGTATGATTCAATTCTGGTTGAAGATGTGTAGTATGATATAGTACTGGTTTTAGATGTGTAGTATGATATAGTACTGGCTGTAGATGTGTAGTATGATATAGTACTGGCTGTAGATGTGTAGTATGATATAGTACTGATTGTAGATGTGTAGTATGATATAATACTGGTTGTAGATGTGGAGGGTGATACAGTACTGGTTGTAGATGGGTAGGATGATACAATATTGGTTGTAGATGTGTAGGATGATACAATATTGGTTGTAGATGTGTAGGATGATACAATATTGGTTGGAGATGTGTAGGATAATACAATACTGGTTGTAGATAATATGTGCTACTGTTGTAGATGTGGTGCTGAGGATGGAACATGGCATCATTCAGCAAGGATACTGCAAGTACCCTGGAGCTTCTCCAGGCTGATGACTATGTGAGTTTAGTTCACAGTCAACCACAGTCCTCTTGGGACCCTTGTCAGAGTGCTGACTGGGACAATGAGGCTCCCACCTCACAATGCTGTAGTATGATACAATTCTGGTTGTAGATACTGGTTGTAGAAGTGTAGGATGATATATGATACTGGTTGTAGATGTGTAGGGTGATACAGTACTGGTTGTAGATGGGTAGGATGATACAATATTGGTTGTAGATGTGTAGTATAATACAATACTGGTTGTAGATAATATGTGCTACTGTTGTAGATGCGGTGCTGAGGATGGGACATGGCATCATTCAGCAAGGATACTGCAAGTACCCTGGAGCTTCTCCAGGCTGATGACTATGTGAGTTTAGTTCACAGTCAACCACAGTCCTCTTGGGACCCTTGTCAGAGTGCTGACTGGGACAATGAGGCTCACACCTAACAATGCTGTAGTATGATACAATTCTGGTTGTAGATACTGGTTGTAGAAGTGTAGGATGATATATGATACTGGTTGTAGATGTGTAGGGTGATACAGTACTGGTTGTAGATGTGTAGGATGAAACAATATTGGTTGTAGATGTGTAGTATGATATAGTACTGGTTGTAGATGTGTAGGATGATACAATATTGGTTGTAGATGTGTAGGATAATACAATACTGGTTGTAGATAATATGTGCTACTGTTGTAGATGTGGTGCTGAGGATGGGACATGGCATCATTCAGCAAGGATACTGCAAGTACCCTGGAGCTTCTCCAGGCTGATGACTATGTGAGTTTAGTTCACAGTCAACCACAGTCCTCTTGGGACCCTTGTCAGAGTGCTGACTGGGACAATGAGGCTCCCACCTCACAATGCATTCTCCGTATCAAAAGGTACATCTTAACTGGGTTTTTTTCCGACACACATGTTTTGATTTACTGTACGCTATACTTTTTCTTTTATTTTCATGTTGTTAATGGTAATCTCAGAATAGCATCAAGAGGACATGTGATCCAAATGAATTGCTAAATTTTCACCAAAAAACTTTTTCACAAGGTATTTATTTAGTTTGCAAATGAAGCAAACAGCAATATATATAGTCTTTATGTATGCATATGCATGATTAATAATCTATACAATCCTAGGTTCTAGTATCAAAGCTGACACATACTATTCCTAGGTTCTAGTATCAAAGGTGACGCATATACTATTCCTAGGTTCTAGTATCAAAGATGACACAGATATAAAGTATTCCTAGGTTCTAGCATCAAAGCTGACACAGATACTATTCCTAGGTTCTAGCATCAAAGCTGACACAGATACTATTCCTAGGTTCTAGCATCAAAGCTGACACAGATACTATTCCTAGGTTCTAGCATCAAAGCTGACACAGATACTATTCCTAGGTTCTAGCATCAAAGCTGACACAGATACTATTCCTAGGTTCTAGCATCAAAGCTGACACAGATACTATTCCTAGGTTCTAGCATCAAAGCTGACACAGATACTATTCCTAGGTTCTAGCATCAAAGCTGACACAGATACTATTCCTAGGTTCTAGTATCAAAGCTGACACAAATACTATTCCTAGGTTCTAGCATCAAAGCTGACACAGATACTATTCCTAGGTTCTAGCATCAAAGCTGACACAGATACTATTCCTAGATTCTAGTATCAAAGCTGACACAAACCTTAATTATTTATTCAGATTGGGAGGGTATTGTCTTGATGCCTTTTGGTCACAGTCCCAAGAAATGGATTACATATGGATAATTTAACTTATAACATTTGTGTGTTTGATTCCTTCACAGAGATATAATGACGATATTTAATGAGCCCCCTCCTGGCATTATCATCATCCCTGACAAGGATGACATCACTAAGGTAGGGACAGGCATACTTGAATTGCTACACAGTGATGGTGATTATCTAAGTTAGGATTTCAAAAAATCTTGTCAGCTACCTATCACTTCATTCTTCTATTAATTCATAATTAAGGTTCAGTATGATGAAGATGAATGTAGCTAAAACTGAAAATAAACAGATTTCTTTTTTATTTATTTATGAAATGAAGATATAAGCTAGGACTATCTGGGTAAATTATCTCCCTTTACCATACATAATAACTTAGGACTATCTGGGAAAGATGTCTCCCTTTACCATACATAATAACTTAGGACTATCTGGGTAAGTTATCTCCCTTTACCAAACATAATAACTCAGGACTATCTGGGTTAGTTATCTCCCCTTACCAAACACAATAAGTCTGGATTATCTTGGTTAGTTATCTACTTTTACCAAACACAATAATTCAAGACTATCTGGGTAAGTTATCTCCCCTTACCAAACACAATAACTCAGGACTATCTGGGTAAGTTATCTCCCTTTACCAAACACAATAACTTAGGACTATCGGGGTAAGTTATCTCCCTTTACCAAACACAATAAATTAGGACTATCTGGGTAAGTTATCTCCCTTTACCAAAAACAATAACTTAGGACCATCTGGGTAAGTTATTTCCCTTTACCAAACACAATAACTTATGACTATCTGGGTAAGTTATCTCCCTTTACCAAACACAATAACTTAGGACTATCTCCCTTTTTTATGCCTTATCACTCAGGATTATCTCTCTTTACCATTTTATGTCAGCATTGATAAAAGTGACTAATTCTACACAGAACCATTATGACATTTCATTTATAGCTTACCCTTGATATGATTATAGTGGCAAATTGTCAGTTGTGTGAGTACAGCTATTGTAAATCTTATATGTGCTTTAAATGTTACAGATTCATGCATTAATCACAGGGCCTTTTGACACCCCTTATGAAGGTGGATTCTTCTGTTTCTTAATTCGCTGTCCACCTGATTATCCCATACGACCTCCAAGGGTCAAACTTCTTACTACAGGTGACAAACAGGTCCGATTTAACCCAAACTTCTATAAGAATGGCAAAGTGTGCCTCAGCATATTGGGGTAAGTACTTGTGTTATGGTTTTGGATATATATAATACATGTGCATTAATCTGATATATGACCTTCTATACCAAAATGATTGCCTGGGAGATAATGTAACTAAAGACAATCGATCGAGGTGTGTGGAGACTTAAAGTAAGTGATCTGGTACCCTTGGAGATCATTGCATTATACATACCTAATGTGGAAAAATCAGTGGGACCGTCCTGTTGTATGTGTCTCAGGCCCATCCAACTCCCTACCCAGAACCTATTTGATGTGAATGTGTTCTGTACTGGACCATTCAGCCTCTCTTGTGTACCTGTGTCATGTTTTCTGTGTTACAGTACATGGTCTGGACCATATAGTCCTGAGTATGTATTGTGTACATGTTTGGCGTTCTCTGTGTTACAGGACGTGGTCTTTATCGTATAGTCCTGTCCAGAATCTGTATTGTGTGCATGTTTGGCGTTCTCTGTGTTACAGGCCGTGGTCTGTACCCTATAGTCCTGTCCAGAGTCTGTGTTGTGTACATGTGTCACATTCTTTGTGTTACAGGACGTGGTCTGTATCGTATAGTCCTGTCCAGAGTCTGTATTGTGTACATGTTTGGCGTTCTCTGTGTTACAGGACGTGGTCTGTATCGTATAGTCCTGTCCAGAATCTGTATTGTGTACATGTTTGGCGTTCTCTGTGTTACAGGACGTGGTCTGTACCCTATAGTCCTGTCCAGAGTCTGTCTTGTGTACATGTGTCACATTCTTTGTGTTACAGGACGTGGTCTGTATCGTATAGTCCTGTCCAGAGTCTGTATTGTGTACATGTTTGGCGTTCTCTGTGTTACAGGACATGGTCTGGACCGTATAGTCCTGTCCAGAGTCTGACTTGTGTACATGTGTCACATTCTTTGTGTTACAGGACGTGGTCTGTATCGTATAGTCCTGTCCTGAGTCTGTATTGTGTACATGTTTGGCGTTCTCTGTGTTACAGGACATGGTCTGGACCATAAAGTCCTGTCAAGAATCTGTCTTGTGTACGTGTGTCACATTCTCTGTGTTACAGGACGTGGTCTGTATCGTATAGTCCTGTCCAGAGTCTGTCTTGTGTATGTGTGTCACATTCTCTGTGCTACAGGACGTGGTCTGTATCGTATAGTCCTGTCCAGAATCTGTCTTGTGTACATGTGTCACATTCTCTGTGTTACAGGACATGGTCTGTATCGTATAGTCCTGTCCAGAGTCTGTCTTGTGTACATGTGTCACATTCTCTGTGTTACAGGACATGGTCTGGACCGTATAGTCCTGTCCAGAGTCTGACTTGTGTATATGTGTCACCTTTCTCATGTTACAGGACATGGTCTGGACTGTATAGTCCTGTCCAGAGTCTGTCTTGTGTACATGTGTCACATTCTTTGTGTAACAGGACGTGGTTTGGACCGTATAGTCCTGTCCTGAGTCTGTCTTGTGTACATGTGTCACATTCTTTGTGTTACAGGATGTGGTTTGGACCGTATAGTCCTGTCCAGAGTCTGTCTTGTGTACATGTGTCACATTCTCTGTTTTACAGGACATGGTCTGTACCCTATAGTCCTGTCCTGAGTCTGTCTTGTGTACATGTGTCACATTCTCTGTGTTACAAGACATGGTTTGGACCGTATAATCCTGTCAAGAGTCTGTCTTGTGTACATGTGTCACATTCTCTGTGTTACAAGACATGGTTTGGACCGTATAGTCCTGTCCAGAGTCTGTCTCGTGTATATGTGTCACATTCTTTGTGTTACAGGACGTGGTCTGTACCCTATAGTCCTGTCCTGAGTCTGTCTTGTGTACATGTGTCACATTCTTTGTGTTACAGGACATGGTTTGGACCGTATAATCCTGTCAAGAGTCTGTCTTGTGTACATGTGTCACATTCTTTGTGTTACAGGACGTGGTATGGACCGTATAGTCCTGTCCAGAGTCTATCTCAGTACATGTTTTGCGTTCTCCGTGTTACAGGACGTGGTCTGGACCGGCATGGAGTCCTGCTCAGAGCTTGTCTAGTGTACTGATATCCATGCAATCACTGATGAATGAGAAACCATATCACAATGAACCTGGATTTGAAAAGGTAAACTATTTTTTTAAGAAACAAGAAAGATTTTATTACTGGTCTGGAATCACTTTTGTATTTCTTCTTTTTTGTTTTCTCTTTCCTTAGATGACCCAATCAATTAGCCTTATTCTTCATGTTAGGACAGGTGATCAGCTTCCTGACATATTGAGCACTGTTTTACAGAAGCAGAGTTACTCTTGTCCTTTGGTCCAGTCTCAACTGTAGTCCTGCTAGAAATAATGTAATAGTATCCCTGCTGATTCACGCCACTAGTTGATCACTTGTGTCCTCCATTCCTTGGCCTAACTAAACTGAAAGCATCACCTTTGGTTCAGAGAAAATTAGAATATCTTTCCAACAGTTTTTTTTATTCTCTCCATCAGAAACAAAGTAAGGTTGTTTCTACAATTGCAAAGAAATTTATCCTGATTCAACAAATAGTTCCATCCATTGAAGGTTCTTTCCGAACCAGCCATCTCTAATTAACACCAATGGAAGTAAATTTCCAATCTGGCTGCAAATAGGCTGAAAGTTTCACCCTTCTCCTGTCTTCCTCTTCCTTTAAAGATTTTTTTCCATAGGCCTTTCTTTGTCATTTTATATCTTTTAGCTCACCTGTTCCAAAGACCTTGTGGGCTTATATTATGCTGTGGTGCGGCGTCTGTCTGTCATTCATACGTTCGGCAACTTTCATTTCAAACTCTTCTAGTCCTGAAAGGCTCAGTGGATTTTGAATAAAAAAATTGCCGGAGCATCCTTGGGCAAAGGGGACTCGATCTTCTATAAACAGAAGGCAGGGCCAAATAGGGAAAATTGAGGTCAATCTTTAAAGTTCTTCCTCTGTAAGAGGCTACTGTGTATAAGTAATAAAGATGACATGAACAAACAAAATAATGATTACCCCGTCACAGTTGCATCAAAAGGAAGGGGAGGCTAATGTTTATCAGAAAATTATTGTGGATTTCCCCAGTTTTTGCCTGCAGTTGATATTTAACCTGAACAGGAAAATGGACTTAACTTGTACACTCCCACCAAAACATCCATGATACCAATATTACAAATCAAAGTCTATGTATCACATACCCTGCTGACATACATTTTGTAATCGTAATCATTTAAAACATTAGTGCGGTAACATTGTATAAGTTTGGTTTATACATTATTGGTATTTTTTCATCCTTTCATAAACTGCAATTAAAATATGTTTAAGCTTAAAAAAAATCCTATACTGCTATTTTGTTTAGGAGAGGAATTTTGGAGATGCCAAGCGATACAACGACATTATCGAACATGAGACATTGAGGGTTGCAGTATGTGACATGTTGGAGGGTAAATGTAACTGTCCCCAGAGTCTACAGTAAGTTACAATGTGGCATTATGGAAATGATGTATCAATTCTGATACTTTCATTTTGAAATGTGCCGGATTTGACCTAAAATGGGCACCTTCTCTTATTAGGACACCCCTAGTGATTTTAGAAAAATTACTTGACTCCTCTGTCAGTGTGTGTGTGTCTGTCCATTCATGCTATTAAAATCTATTCATATCTGCAATAAGGGTCAACGCCTGAAGCTGTGATCACAGGAGTAATATGTTTTAAACTTCAGATTTCTTAAAACCTGAATATCTAAAAAGAGTTTAAGGTATGGACATTATCTTATGTTGTGATATGGAGGTTGCCAATTTGTTTTGCAGGAATCATTTTAGGTCAGAGTTAAACTTTTGGTTTAATGTCAACGGTGCTTTAATGGGTTACAAATTAGAAACTATTTTTACCATGTTCTAAGAGGCCTTCTGTCATGCCTTGAGCTGCTCTCAAGGTCACAGGGGTCAAAAAATCAAAATATCTAAACAACTTTTAATACTGGTAACCAAGAGGCTTCAGGTCATGATATTTGATCGATGGGTAGCTGGATTGGTTAAGTTGTTCAAATAAATTATATTGATCTTCATTTTAGGTCACAGAAGTCAATCATGTAAAAGTTTTTAGAAAAGATCGCTTCTCAAGTTCAAGAAAGTATAGGGTCATGGTATTAAAACTAGGAGGTAGCTGGGGGAGAGGGCCATCAAAGTGGTTCCAATATTTGATCTGTATCTCCATTCAAGATTACCATGGTCAGATATGTTGAAGTTGCTTCTCAAGTTCCAGAAGGCCTATGGTACATGTGTATGATTTAACCAGGAGATAGCTGGATGTGACAGCATATTTGTTCACATATATGACCTTGATCTTCATTTAAGGTTGCAAACATCTTCTGTTGAATAATCAAAAGTCTAGGGTCTTGATATTTGCTTTGTAGCATGCTTTAATCAAGTTTGTTCAGATGAATGACGATGACCTTCAGTCAAGGTCACAGAGGTCAAATTAATTTTGAAATAGTTAAACTTTAAAAAAATATTGTCAAGCTCCAACAAGCCAAGATCATAAAAGACAAGAAATTTTGAAATGTCTGCTTCAAAACACCAGAGGTGGTATGCAGATTAATATTGGAAGAAGAAGAATTTTAAGGCCAAATGTCAAACTGATGTCCTATTGTGAAAAGCCAAACAATATTGTTTGCTAACATTTTCTGATTTTAATTGTTATTTATGAATTTCAGAGAGGTCATGGAAACATCCTTTCCAGATTACTTTGAATATTATGAAGGCATCTGTAAAAAACACCAGGACATGCAGGGACAGACAATGCAGGTAAGTTTTGTAATTGGTAATTTGTTCTTATAGAAAAAAAATACTGTCAACGAACGGCATCTGTGGACGATCACAATTAGCTAGGTACCTGGAATGTTGTGACACACACTCCTTCTATCAATTACGATTTTGATAAGTTGATTGCTCTACTCACGGCACAATTGAAGTGTTATGACAGTTTTCATTGGCTGTTTTGGGATGGACGGGCGGATGCACCACAGAATGTCTTGGTTCCCCTAACACCTACGCAACATTGTGTAATCTAACCTATCTCTTTAAGTTGGGTCATTGGTGCATACACAATAAGTCTTTGTTGTGGGTAATTTGGGATGGATTAATCCAATATCTTAGGAGGTGTATCTAATGCACATCATTTCAGTTTTGGAATTTTTTGATGATGCACCAAATGAGAAATAGCGATACCAAGAATTGGTTAAGGACGGACCACAGACCATGGAGGAAGGGTGATTTGAATAGCCCACCATCATCTAAAAATTACGCGAGTCGTATCATTCACAGTTGTTGTTCGTTCACAGTAAACATTGACAATACAAGTTAAAAAAATGTTTAGAAAAAATGCATAGCATATTAATAACTGTTAGCTGTTAATAAACATTTGATGGTTTTTAGCTCACCAGTCTGAAACATTTCCTTAAGAATGGTTTTGACTAAATTTGGACTGGAGCATTGTTGGGCTAAGGGACTTTATTTTCCCTAAAACTGAATCGAAGGATAATACAATGTAACATGTGATCTTGTTATATTTTATATTTTGACACATTTGTGTTTTTTGTTGGCTTTATTTTTAGGATCCTTTTGGAGAGAAGAGAGGTGTATTTGATTTCTCAAATATATTAAAAAGACTAGGAGTAATACAAAAGGACTTGTCAGATAAAATGGACAACTGCTCAACAGACGATACTTCGGATATGGAACAAAGCTGATACATCATAACAGTGACAAGCTTTCTAACTACCCTGACTAACTCATATTGTTTGGATACAAGCTTTCATGGAACCTGGACCAAATAGTGTCATAAGTGTCAAAAACCTTGGATCGTGCACAGCATAAATACACTATTCTTGATATATAAATGATTTTATGCTGATTGTATTGATTTGCTGCTGTTTGTGACTGGACCAATTTACTCCATTCCTTTATATTCTGTAATCATTGTAGTTATACTGATTTTACCAACCAATGTACAATGTACTTAATTAGATCCTGATTTTGTCTGATGGATAGCATTTTTGTTAGGATTGCTGGTAAATGTCCATGTCTATTATACCAAATTATTAATTGTAATACCTCAATTTATAGAAAATACATCAACTTATAGAAATACCGGTCATGATAATTGCAAACAACTTTGTTATTTTGGTCACATAGTATTCTTCTATGAAATTTGAAGAATAAAAAGGTCTGAAAATCAATGTGTGATTTTTTGTAGTAACAAAGTCAACTCAACTATTTAGCTGTTATTTATCTTATTGTGCCAATACATTTACTTCCATGATTAGAAAGGTAGGTATCTTGTTATTATCTTGTATCTTATTGTTGTCCTGTACCTTGACAACAGGTCATTTAGTCCTGTATCCTGTCAACAAATCAATGTAGTCCTGTATCTTAACATGTCATTGTAGTCCTGTATCTTAACAGGTAATTGTAGTTCTGTATCTTGACAACAAATCAATGTAGTCCCATATCTTAAGAACAGGTTTTATTGTAGTCCTGTATCTTTTCAAAAGGTAATTCTCTATCTTAATTACTGTTAAATCTAGTCTTGTATCTTGACAACTTGCTCAATCTCAGAAAGATCTTGTTCAAATTCTAACAAATTATTGGTCACCTATTCAGTTTGTAGGGTAGTTCATGCGTAATGGCCAAACATTATCACCATGTGTTTATTGGTATTCAGAAGAAGTTATTAAAGGGTTTCAACAGACCCCTTAATTATAAGTTCATTCATTTTAACAAACTTAACATGCTACTGGCAAAAGGTCACAACTCTAGGCAGTTTTAGAAATAAGAATATGCATATATAAACTACCTGTTGTTTCCCCGAGTTCAGTGTTAATGTAAAAGATAGAAATCAATCAAAAATCTGGGGATAACAAAGCTCTAACGGGTGCTTTTGGCAGACTCTGTTGTGTTTCATCTAACCACTGCTCTCTTTTCAAAATCAGAGCGGCAAGTGGCAACTTGTATGATCATTGGTGAGCGGGCAAAGTTTAACCCGAGTTGTATAGATCTCAAACTCATTATTACAAATTGCAAACATGCTTACTCACTTGATAACAAAGATGTTACAGCAAGGTGCCCAGAGGGTCCGTATTACTTACCTGGACATTTAAGCATTCATAGAATCAGAGACCCAATGGGCTTGTATCACTTACTTGTATTTATTGCACGTCTTTGACCCTACCGAGTATGTAAATGTCAAATGTATTGAACGGGCTATCATTATTACTCTACATAGTGTGGGTTTATGTTTGAATGTATCATTACTATACACCTTATAAGTCTATGTGTGATGATTCTAACTTGTTTACTCATATGAACTTTGAAGTTGGTCTTGGTCATTCATCAGAATCCAAAACTCACACATTTGACCCCCCGACATTGCGTTTCAGTCATGGTCATTCACTTGAACCAACTTTAAAAGTCTTTCATCCCAGCATGATACTGGTCAAAACACTACTCTCAGGCTCATGGTTATTTTGAAGTCATCAGAGGATATTTGATACATTTGACTCGTGTCACTTTGAAAGCTTACTTCAACATACCTGATCCCAGCAAATTACATGAAAAATATTGTTTTCTCCGACTCTTGGTTATTCACAAGATGTTCAAAGGTTTTTTACAAACACATTTGACTCCTGTGACCTTGAAAGTGAGACAATGTCATTTTATTAGCTCACCTGCCCAAAGGGCAACTGAGCTTATGCTTTTGGCTCCTGTCAGTCAACTTTTCCTTTAAAATGCTACTAGTCATGAATGGCTCTGTGGATTTTGACTAAATTTGGCCAGGAGCATCCTAATTCAAAAGGGACTAATTTTGCATAACTGGAAGGGTGTTGCACCCCCTTTGGGAAGAGGGGCTTTGCCCAATAGGGGAAATTGAAGTAAATCTTGAAAATCCTTCTTCTGTTTGATTGGAGGGATTTTTGACCAAAACAGGTGTAGAGCATCCTTGGGTAAAGAGTACTCAATTTTGTATAAATGGAGGGTGTGGCCCCCTTTGGGGCAGAGGGGCAGGGCTCAATAGGGAAACTTGAGGTAAATATTTAAAATTCTTATTAAGTGTGATTTGAGGGATTTTAACCTAAATCGGTCAATAGCATCCTAAGGAAAAGGGAACCAAATTTTGTTTAAACAGAGGGTGTGGCTCTCTTGGGGAGGCAGCGCCCAATATGGGGAACATAGTAAGAAATATGTAAAATCCTACTCCATTAGTATGATCGGAGGGATTTAAACCAAATTTTATGTAGAGTATCCTTGGGCAAAGGGGACTCAATATTGCGTAAACTGGGGGTATAACCCCTTTGGGGAAGAGGGGTGGGGCAAATAAGGGAAATTAAGAAAGATCTGTCATGGACCTCTTATGAAATAGTGACATAGACCAATCGAGATTTGAACAGCCAACTATCTGATAATGGTGGGCAGACGACAGAAACTGCTCCGCAACATAAGCCTTTCTTTCTGGTGAGCTAACGAAACAAAACAGTCAAGTCCAAAATAAATTGACAAAAAAATTGTGTATTTTATTGAAAATAATCTAATATTTTAAAGAAAAATTCAAACAATTTTTTCTTCTTTTAGAGGAATCAAGAAAATCCTCATTAAATGTTTTCACACCTTTTAAATTCTTTTCAATTACCAGAAATGTATATTACTGGTATGTTGATTCACAAATAAATGTTTTTGGAAAAAAAGGAAAAAATATCTTCAAAACTCATTACCCTTGAATTAGAGGGGAAAAGAACATGCATGAAACAGCCGAGCATGTGATATACAATTGCCATAAACTGGGTACGAGGTCTAGTCAAGCGAGACATTTATTATAATATGACATCGAGTGAAATGTTATAAATCATCAATTCGTTAAAAACTTGAATCTTCATCGCAGTGAAGATACACACAGAGATATCCCAGAGGGACTTTGGCACCCATCCTGTAAGATATTTATTGATTTTATATAGATTAGTGGGGGGTTTTGTGTGATGGATTTAGACACGTCAACAGTAAACGCATTTTGTGGTAACTCTTGTTCAAAACTTCATACAGCTATTATTGACATTGTCCTTTCAAAAGTATTGTAAGTTATTTATTACCATAATGTGTTAAAATAGACCTAGAAAGGATTATTGATTTCTGGCAGCGATATTTTTCTACTGACCAAGCTGCTTGAAGCTCGAGATAAAATACATTTCATATGCAAAACCTGTTATTTACTTACTGAGATATTGCAATTACTAATTTTAACAGGTATATTCAAGATGTCTGCCAAGAGGCCATCTTTTTCCTCAATAAAGCTGAAAATGAATTTTAACTAAGAACCAAGCCCAAACAAGCCTAAGAAGGAACACTTGAGTACCTTTTGAGAAATAACAACAACAATTTAAAATTCAAAATAACTGCCTGTTGGCCATCATGTTTTTCTGATCAGCCTCAAAATATAACATGCACGACTTAGGGCCAAGGTCCTTCAGATGAAATTTGAAAAATATTTGTCAAGACTTCTCAAGATATAGAAATAATAATCCCAAACTGTAAAATTTCCAAATTTGATAAAGATCCATTCATCAATTTCAGAGAAATAGAGATAATGCGAAATGCTTATGGACGGATGCTGGTCCACAGATAAGGGGCGATTTGTATAGGCTGTATCTTCACATGTGATACAGGATTTAATTCCTCAATACATTTTATATTGACCAAGCTTTAAGCAGAACAGTATTTTCAATTCATTGCATTTAAAGTCACAGATTTTCTGTCCAGCTAAAGATTAAGTAACAACAGAATTAGTCATTGTTTTTGAACAACTTTGGTACTTACATCAATGTTTTTTAAAGCTTCACCACTGATAATATTTTTGTAAGCAAATTGTACCAGAAAATACATGTAGCTTAAAGTGGTAGAATCATGTTCAAGATAGTTGACAGCCTTTTTGTCAAGTGATATGTAATTTGAATCTGGCGTCAAGTAATTCCCCCTTTTTTGATGCAATATTTTTTTGTGTGATTGTAGTTCAAAAATGTGATTAATAGACGTTCTCTATATCTATTGGTATAGCACATTAATACATGTGTTGAAATATGCTTATAGATTTAATTTATAGTAATGAGCAGATCGGTTAAAACAACATTTCAGAATAACCTTCTATGTGATTGTTCTCGCACCTCAACACACTCACTAAAGGTCAGAATATCACATTTCTACATTCACATCTATGATCAGTAAAAGCTACATAATATACTTTCACCCTACACCATTCAGAAACATGTTTTGCGTAGTAAAATAGTTTTGCCCAGCATACACATTGATGTTTTAGAACACTTACTTTTTTAACCTTTACCTAGAACAAAATTAAATATTATTTTTTGATGTTCAACCCAAGATAAACTTGGAATATATATTACATATTTACATCTAGTACGTATCTCAAGTTCGACTGAAACTAACAATAAGAATATCACCTATAGCTATATACCTATTATTTGTTTGTAACCACTAAATGCGTCCACACCCAAGAATTCAGCTCTGATTTGATTTGAATCAGTAAAAATCATGCATTTCTGTTGATTGTTACATTTTTTTTCTATGAATCCCTCTTACATACACATTTAACCAAGGGGTCTATTGGCCTATATAGTACACCTGTTCCAGGGAGCAACACTCTTCCTTTATAAAACAATTATTCCCAGGTTCAAAAATGACTACAGATGCTGCAAAACAAATTTGGCCAAGATCTTTATTATTTTATTAATGGTTAAAGGGCAGGTATCTAAATTTTCATAATGAAAACCCAGGACAAAGTCCCCAGGGGTGAGGTCATACCCCTGAATTTTATATCTTTATGTCCAGGAAGCACTTATATGTTTTAGAGTGATTTTATTATTATAGATTAGAATCTCAACAGCTTCCATGTTATTACCAACAGACTAGGCCCCAGGGGGCTTAGCTGAATCATGGGCAAATCCTGGTAGCATTATTGTGTTTGTTTCTTCATGGCAACTATGAATGAAAGGGTTTATATATATGGTGTGAATCTTCATGGCATGAGGTTTAATTAATACTTTGAGTCATTGTTTGATAATTACTCCATCAGGAATGTCATTATACTACAACTATTAAAGGGAGTATGAGAAACTGTAATCACCTCATCACAGAACGAGCTGACCACAACATCAAAATCAGCGAACAGAATATACAGTCAACCATACATCAAAAAAATAGTCATACAAATGTACATTCAACTCAACATATTGATTAACTTGGTAAAACAAATTTAATGCTTTTATGAAATTAAAAGTATAATTGAAGAACTAAATTAAATACAAAAGATAAATATAAGTTTGTCTGATTAATTGTCATGTTTTTATCTTACAAATGAACTAAATGAAAACATGACATAAAATAATGCTACAGAATTGTAAACAATATTCCTGGGCTGCAAAGAACATCTGTTCTACATATGTTCTGGGTGGTTCTTCAGACAATCCATGAACTTGCTCACATGAAGGTTACCTTTACAGATGTTGTGGATGGCTGTGAATAGGGGGAACCTGGAATAGAGAGAATAACAAGCTAACACTACAACTAACTTTACAGATGTTGTGGATGGCTGTTAATAGAGGGAACCTGGAATACAGAGAATAACAAGCTAACACTACAACTAACTTTACAGATATTGTGGATGGCTGTAAAAAGGGGAAACCTGGAATACAGAGAATAATAAGCTAACACTACAACTAACTTTACAGATGTTGTGGATGGCTGTAAATAGGGGGAACCTCGAATACAGAGAATAACAAGCTAACACTACAACTAACTTTACAGATATTGTGGATGGCTGTAAAAAGGGGGAACCTGGAATACAGAGAACAAGCAAATTCGTGGAATTTATATCCCCCGCTTGCAGGACATATTGTAGGTTAACATTATTGAGGTTAGGTTTAAACATGCTAGTATCGTGCTGTTGAGACATAATGCATAACTTGAAACTTGAACTTGAAAAGCCGTATACCTCATCGATTATCTGTTAATTATGCACAAATCACATCGGTTGGCAAACTTAGCATGAGTTGGATGTGCATACGGAATTTGGTTGAAACATCTGAACAATATCTACAGCAATTATTACACGAAAACCAAAGGGTGCCCGAGATGGGTGGAAAGACAGACGAACACAAACATTGTGTCAACCTTTATGCGTTGAACCCTGTTACTAAGTTTGAAGACAATCAGATAATATTTGTGAGAGTAAATGAACAGAAACGGAAGATAATGACGTTTTTCGTTATTCAAGGGGCCATAACTCCGCCAAATAAATCCCACTGAAAGTGGTTATCGAACTTGGGCGAGCCCTTAAGGCATTTAACCCTGTGACTAAATTTGAAGAAAATCGGTTAACATTTGTTGTAGTTATTGCACGGAAAAGAAGCGTGACAGACAGACGGACAAACCCAAATTAATATCCCCCGTTTCGGTGAAAGCGGGGGATAATAACAAGCTAACACTACAACAAACTTTACTGCATGTTATTTTAGTAAGGTAGATGTCCAATGCTACTCCCTTTTGAGACCTTTAGAAGTAGTGGTCAATATTTTAAGATATTTGTGACACTGACAATGGGTTAAGGTTATTCATTTCTTTACAGCTAGCCTTCCATCCCAGTTTTATTGGGACTCCAATTGCTTTCTTGTGTAGATTTTGGTGGTCAACTCCTTCAGTGACCCATTCTTATTCAACAAACTACACAATTTGGATGCAAGAACTGTAACTCATTGTATATCAAAGAAACTGGGAGGTGATTTTGGGTCAGACTTGGTGAACATACAGACAATACAGAAACCCAAGAGAGAAAGAAATAATTCATCTGATCAGAAAGGAGGCAATCAGAATGCGACATCAATAAATTAGTGATCACAGACCATGTAATACAGCATAATCATGTTATTTACTGGGATAACTCCAAAGTGTTGGACAAAGACAGCAATCTGTTCAAGCAGCAGATGAAGGAAGTCATCTGAATTTGCCACAGCGGGCCAGTCTTGAATCGTGATGAAGGGGCTCACAGACTTTTGCACAACTATGACCAGGTATTAAACAAAGCATGGCTGAATCAACTTGTTGATTTGATTGTCATTTTGTATATGTATAACAACTAAGTGTACAAACATATCGTACAACTTTGTGTACATATGCTTCACAAGTCATTTGTTTGGTGAAGGTGACATGAGTACTTATTGTACCACTCGTCAAAATGTAACATCACTGGTTGTGAACATTTATAACATCTAAATGAACTTTTATACCAACTTGAAGAAAATATTTAAAATAAATGAGCAATATATCACAACTATATTTGTAGCTTTTTTGTTTGTTTCATACAAATATTTTTATAAATCTTAGCTCAAAACTGCATCTAAAGGGTTGACTCACTAAGTCTTGAGTGGCTGCATGCGTTTGATGATCACATAATGTTCTGGCCGTGAACAATTCTTGTTTTAGATAGTAACAGTAAGTTGGCCATGGAACCTTCACCAATAAATACAAACTCATGCAAGGTGTTCTCAAACTTCCAGTTCATATAAAATTTAATCAGAGTTTAACCAAAATTGTTTAAATATAAACCTGCTTGGGTGTTGAATCTGGACAGATCTGGAATGGGCTGGGGACATGGGTAACAACACACCCTATACCCTATAAAAGTGTGACAGCATACAATATATTAAGGGCATATAGATTTAGAAAGGTTTACATAGTAGGGCCTCCTTAACGTTTTTTTGATGAAAATAATTGATAATCTCATACCTTTGTTCCATGTCCTTTGCCTTTAGCATGTAATTGACTTCATATGCTGTTGGAGGACCCTGTAATTTTTGACCATTCAACATTTCAGCCTCCAGTTCTTCTATACTCTAAAACAGAAACAGAAGGCCCATCAGCCCAACAGTTTTAATACAGCTGTTATTTGTTGTGATGTGACAATTAAGCAACATAGTACCAATTAGGCAACATAGTACCAATTAAGCAACAAAGTACCAATTAAGCAACATAGTACCAATTAAGCAACATAGTACCAATTAAGTAACATAGTACCAATTAAGCAACAGAGTACCAATTAAGCAACATAGTACCAGTTGTGTGTGTGGGGGGGGTATAGTTGACCAAGGGGTAATGCAAGTCCCAACTTTGTTTAGACTTTTCCATCCATAAAGAGTATTTAATTCTAGCAAATTTTGGTCTGAAGAAGACTTCTGAAATTTTCCTCAACTCCCTCTGGACCTGTCTTTCAGGGCCAAGGGGTTGGGTCAGGGTCTGAATTATAATTATATGTACCATCAAAATGCAATCCTATGATAACACAGCATCACAAATAATACAAATCTCCTTGCTTGCGTTTGGTTAGAGATCATACATCCAACAGAACCTTGATATGTCTCGCGCTAGTAACTTCATCCTCCAATAATTTACTGTATATTCTTTCCTTGAGCACCCAGACATGAAATCCAGTTAAATTTTGCAGACCATTACCATCATATAATGCATGACAATAGGTTCTGCCAGGTTAAAAATACCTTTCCAGTTTTAGCATAGGCTTCAGCAACCCTTCGGTTCCTACCGCCATAACAGGTGGTGACAAGGTCAGCAACTCCACAGCTTTCAAGGAACGTTCCTTGTTGGGATTCTGTGACAGATTCACAAATAATTCTTGTTATTTAACATAGCTTGTATCTTTAATGCTGGTCATTCTCTTTACGAGTCATCCCCACTTCACCTATTGGACCAAACTCTTAATTCCTAGTGATGAAATGACTTCTTTTACATAACATTGCATATTCTTGTCTTGGGGATCATGATACTAAATTTCGACAAGAAGATGCTGGATGAATATAACCAAGTAACAATGTAGTATATTATACAATTGTGAATCAGCACTATATTTCATGTTGCTATATTGATGGTGCAGTCATGAATATTTTTTTAATGCTGCAAAATGATGACCCAAGCAACACTTCAATTGACAACATTTAATTTCTTAAAAGTATAATCCAGGTATATCACTTAGCTATAGTTCAATCCCTGATAACCCCATACAGGGATTGACCATTGCTTCTAAACCAAATTACTGAAGCATATATGTTGGTCAATCTCAGCGTCTGCAATAAAAATTTAGTAGAGAAGCACTTGCTTTATCATTGATCTAGTATGATCCATGTAGCACTTAAAGTTAACCAGATAATAACAAAATAACTCCTCCTAAGCTGATACATAGATACGACCATTTCCTAACTAAGCCACTTATGTAGATCAAATTCAGCATCCACAATGCAAATTTAGCAGAGCAACCCTTACAGCTGCATCACTGATGCAAGCATAACCCGATAAGCTTTTGAAGTTACCCAGATAGGGTTGAACAAATTCTTCCTTACCTTATATAATACATGGAGGTACAGGTAATAGATGTAGGTAATATTCAGCACCAAAAATAAATATTTAGTTGAGCAGCACTGACTGTGTCAACGATACGAGTATCATCTATGTACATGTAGCTCTTATAGTTATCCAGATATGGATGAAAAAATATTTCTTAACGAGCTACATGATCAGATGGTAAGATGGAGGTAAGGACCCTGTTTCTGTACCTACTACTAACCACGTTTAGTGGTCAATAATAAAATCTTTCAAGACATTCTTGAGAAGATGCCTTTAAATCATATATTTCCACTTTAAACATTTATTTCTGTTCCCCCTATTGAGTCCCGCCCCTCCTTCCCAAAGGGGGTAACACCCATCATTAATGCAATATTGAGTCCCCTTTGCCCATACATACCCTGGACCGAATTTGGTTAAGATGTCCCTCCAATCATACAGAAAGCGAAAAGATTTCAAAGATTTAACTCAAGTTCTCCTATTGAGTCTCGGCCCTCTGACCCCAGGGGGGCCACGCCCTCTGCTCATACTAATTGAGTCTCTTTTGCCCAGGGATGCTCAAGACAGAATTTAGTCACAATCCACTGAGCCATTCAGGACTTGTAAGGAAAAGTTGACGGATGGAAGTCTCGCCATGGCATAAGCTAAAAATTGAATTCTTTCTTCTCTAAGAACTTTAATCAAACACATATGAGAGGTATGATACCTGGATAGAAAATTTCACAGAATTTGACCATCTCCATCAGTCCAAGCCTGATGACTGCTGCCTTTGTGTTGTCCCCATATCCCAAACCATCAGCAAAGCCTGCACCGACTGCCACAATATTCTACAACACAACAATTTGTCTGCCAATAACAATACATGGTGGCCATCATGGATAATATTTCACCTGTTAAAATCTATGAGGTTTATTCAGAATATCAGAGGAACTTAATGAAGAAGAAATTAATTAGCTCAAAAGAATTTGAGTTATAGATCATAACTTTTCAATATATCAAAAGTTTGATAGTTATATTGGATTAGCAATCCATGAAAACATACTTGTTACAAATCAAAATATCTGAAATACTATAGTAAATTGTGAAAATTCACCAACATATGACTATATTTGTGGAGAGTTACTTTGATAGGGAGACTAATGACACAATTACACTGTTTAATCAAAATGTATTTCTGAGGTAGAAGTGGTAGGGGAATGAAAAGCATCCAGGGTTGAGGAGTTATTGGGAGATTTGGTGTTGACTACACCATAGCTGTGAATGATTACATCTATCTCCCAAAATATAATTGATGCCAGTGGTTGAAAACTTTTTTATTAAATTTTCCTGGCTCAGGAGTGGTATATTGCATGCAGGTAACTTGACAGACTGAGGGAAGATGGATGTCAAACCCTGGCATAGAGCTAAAAAGGTAGACTGAAGCTAGGTGAGCTAACACACTATAAAACCAAGTTTTAATTGTACATATAAACAACACTCACCTTTAAAGCCCCACACACTTCTACTGTTGTCTCATCGTCACAGACCACAATCCTGAAGTAGTCTGCCTGGAACATGTCCTTAAGGATGGCACCATACTCTGGGTGCTTGCAGCCTGGACAAAATAAAGGTTTGACATTATGCTAAATAGAAACCAAGGACCAACAATGCATTTTTCGTTTGGGCTGTTACCCTTTTTTGACCAATTCAATCCTAATATTTCATTTTTTCCCTTAATGAGGAGTAAATAGATATTTAGCAATCATTCCAAGTCAAATCCTCCAATCTCTGCCTCCACTTTTGATAACCATGCATCATTGGCTATTTTCTGACAATCTTTTTTCCTTTTAATCTGTATGCTTAAAATAAACTGTACATGTTTTTCTAATATTGAGAATTTTACACTGATCGGCTAGTAAACGCTGATGCTTTGTTATTAGATCATACAATTTAGTGTATGATGAAAGAATGGAGTGAGTGATTTTAATTAGATGGGATACAAAGGTGTTCAGTTTTTACACAATAATAGTAGTATGATGATGGTCATGGTCAATCACATCATTCTAATACAACAAACCAATACCGCTGGCCTAGCTGCACCTCTTCACCTGATTTTAGCTGTAACATGTATTTTGTTTTGTTTCATGGCTGCAAATCTACACAATGTTTGATCCTGTTTGATTTTGTTGCTGTAAGAATAGGTTAAATATTTACTGTACTTATTATTCTTATGGAAACTAGCTACCGATGTATAGGGATCAAACAACCACTCTTAGAGATGCCAAAAGCATGTAACCTTGCATGTTATTTTAATGTAAAACAAAAGGTTCAAGAAGTGCAAGAGCTTAGGATATATACATACTGAATGGTATGAACATCGTATTTACACCAGTCACTGGTAGGGTTTTAAAAATTCACTCATTTTCCCGCTATGTATCCCACCCCTCTGTACCCAGTGGGGGGCATATTTGCTGTTTATTTAATGTTCAGTCCAATATAATCTTGACCCAACCATGCTCAAGACCAAATTCAGTCAAATACTTTCAGCCATTCTTGACTAGTACAGTGTTAAAGAATTAAAAGTTGATGCCAGACGACAGGCATGGCGCCATGGCCCTTTGGATCAAATGGCTTGAAATTGGTTTATCTTATTCAATGTACCTATTGTGGCCTCGCAGTAGTTCTCCTTAGCAACCTCATTTGCAATGTTAGCACCCATCAAGGCAGCACACGGTATATTCAAAAGGTCCCTGATGACAGATGAGATCAGGAGGATACCACCCCCATCCTTCACTTCAAAACCCTGTAAAACATACAGATTGTAACTATCAGTACACTCTCCCGACAGGAAAGCCCTTAATACAAGTCATAAACCAGCAGCAAGTACATATCATAATAGACCCATTCAAACCAGTAGATGATGTGATACCTGTTCATTTTCATAGAAATTCATATATATTACTGAATATTGATGAGTACTGTATACCATTGGTGCCTGCATACAATTTGAGCCTTGTTACTGTATCATATCAACTATATGAACGTTTAAACCCTGAAGCACTGCATGATGTTTCAATGCATTCTTTTAGTGTCGAATCAGATGTCATGGAACACTGAGAAAGGAAAATCCAGAGGCAATTTTTTCTAAGCTCTGCTTACAATAATGTTAAATGATAAGGATTTCATCAAAGGTAAACACTTTAGTACACCGACATTCCAAAATTGCTATACAATGCCATGCTCACATCTAAACACCTAATATGTAATGTTCATGTGAACGAATCGTTCCATTTATTGATAACCAGATTGTATGAGAACAAGCTGCCTACAGGTGTGGGGTCAATATGTAGGAGTGATAACATTTCTCATTCTTATCTAATTCTACCATTCAATCAATACTCACACATTGCATGACCTGAACTTTTTGTTTAAATTCATATCTTTCACGTCTATAGCCGTGTAATGGAAACATATCAACTTGTGATCCTGATAGACCACAACATCTACATGCAGGTGTCCTGTAGGTCATTTATACAGGAGGTCCAGAAGACTTGTATCACTGATACTTGGATATTTAGGCAATCAGGACAAAATATTCTAATTCAAAGTAGTTGTAAATATTTCCCCATTTCAGGCTCCGTCTCTTTTAAGTTAACATTGCCAAAGAGTTCTAATATTGAGGCTTATATAGGGTATTCTAATTCTATTTCCTAGGATTTAGGGATTACAATTTTGGACTGTCACATAAAAGAACGTAAAGAATAGCAGAGTCTGTTACCGACAGTATCTTCTGTTTTATTTGTTCGATATACCTTAATAAGAGAGACAGCAATGGCATCCTTTTTGACATTTCCCTTCAGCTGGTTGCACACTCCCTTGACGAACTGATGCGGCAGGACAAAAATGAAGATATCTGCTCCTTCACCAGTTTCTTTGACACCTGGTACAGCAAGCTGGAGATACGAAATCAAGAATATTACATCATCGCAGTATCAGTACTCAGTCATAAAGTCATGGTTACAGTATCAGAACACAGTCATAAAGTCATGGTTACAGTATCAGTACTCAGTCATTAAGTCATGGTTACAGTATCAGTACTCAGTCATAAAGTCATGGTTACAGTATCAGTACTCAGTCATAAAGTCATGGTTACAGTATCAGTACTCAGTCCTAAAGTCATGGTTACAGTATCAGTACTCAGTCATAAAGTCATTGTTACAGTATCAGTACTCAGTCCTAAAGTTATGGTTACAGTATTAGTACTCAGTCATAAAGTCATGATTACAGTATCAGTACTCAGTCATAAATTCATGGTTACAGTATAAGAACTCAGTCATAAAGTCAGGAGGACAGGAGCAGTACGCAGGCAGAAAGTCATTGTGACAGTATCAGTACTCCGTCATGATTACAGTATCAGAACTCAGTCATAAAGTCATGCTTACAGTATCAGTACTCAGTCATAAAGTCATTGTTACAGTATCAGTACTCAGTGATAAAGTCATGGTTACAGTATCAGTACTCAGTCATGATTACAGTATCAGTACTCAGTCATAAAGTCATGGTTACAGTATCTGTACTCAGTCATAAAGTCATGGTTACAGGACCAGTACTCAGTCATAAAGTCATTGTTACAGTATGATGTATCAGTTCTCAGTCATAAAGTCATGATTACAGAATCAGTACTCAGTCATAAAGTCATGCTTACAGTATCAGTACTCAGTCATAACGTCATTGTTACAGTATGATGTATCAGTACTCTGTCATAAAGTCATGATTACAGTATCAGTGCTCAGTCATAAAGTCATGGTTACAGTATCTGTACTCAGTCATAAAGTCATGGTTACAATATTAGTACTCAGTCATAAAGTCATGATTACGGTATCAGTACTCAGTCATAAAGTCATGCTTACAGTATCAGTACTCAGTCATAACGTCATTGTTACAGTATGATGTATCAGTTCTCAGTCATAAAGTCATGATTACAGTATCAGTACTCAGTGATAAAGTCATGATTACAGTATCAGTACTCAGTCATAAAGTCATTGTTACAGTATGATGTATCAGTACTCAGTCATAAAGTCATGATTACAGTATCAGTACTCAGTCATAAAGTCATTGTTACAGTATCAGTACTCAGTCATAAAGTCATTGTTACAGTATCAGTACTCAGTCATAAAGTCATTGTTTCAGTATCAGTGAAAACTGGAACAGTTGGGTCAGCAAAGCCACTGTAGGATAAACAGTGCATAGGGTGTAGTACTAAACCAAATGACTTAGTTTTTTTCAGTAGGTAGGTTTTTTTTAAAGACGAAAAACTTTTCAGTGAAATTTTTAAAAAGAAGTTTGAGTAGGTGTACCACTAGTAGTGAATCAGTCAGGAAACTGTAAAAAAACACATTTTTTAAGGATGGCCCTTATGTAAATGAGAGCAACATAGTAATTTATATTTGTAAAGGAAGTACAGAATGACTACAACAGGAATATGAATATTGGTGGTTCACTGCTTGCTGGACAGCAATATCAAAACTCCCCCTTATTAATCAAGTACAGTAAAGGAAATTATATAGTACAGAGTACAATCGGAAGTAAAAGTTTGGAAGGTAATATTTCAATCAGCCAAAGCAGCGGGAACTCAGGATTGATGAATGACTTCAGTAACTTTTGACAATTACTGATATATAGCAAAGAATGTCAGGGCAGGTTTCTTCCCTTCTGATGGCTTTTGTCACTAATATGTCAGTGTGTCTTGTCAGGAAGGTGTGTTGGAAACTGTCAAGGTGACATACCAGCACTTCCATTACACTGCACTGACCTCCAATTGTGGTATTTTAAACCTAGGACATGTATATTTAAACATTTGTTGACTACGTTTGTGACAATTCTAGATTATTGTGAACATTGCTGTTTTACATGCATTTAAATTAACTTTAACAAAAGGGAAGGGGGAGGGGAGACACAACCAAACTTCCAAATTATATAGGTTTAAATTCTTTCTTATAAGGTTTATCTCTATTTTCCCTAATGCGTCTGCCCTCCTTCTCCCGGGCCAAACCCTCTGTTTATACCACATAAGTCCCTTAGCCAAAAGATGCTTCAGATAATGAGATTTTGATGGATAAAAGGTAATTAAAACTGTTCAGGACTAATAGCATTTCAAAGAAAAAAGTTCACAATAAAACTCACTAACTCGTCAGGCTATTGATGTAGGAGATTCTGGTAGCCCGACATGTATTTTTATCAGCCACGGGCTATCAGGCTAGCAATAGTGTTGAACCCTGCTATCAGGCCCTGTCCTTTGGGCTGAATCCTCCATTATTTACACCATTTAGTCCCCTTTGCGCAATTATGATTCAGAACAAATTAAATCAAAACTGTTCAGGACTATTAGCATTTCAAAGAAAAAAGTTGATGGATGGATGACTTATAGAAGATGAACAGATGACAGATGGAGGAATGAACAATGCTCTAGATTGTCCACAGGCTCTTTGCACCAGGTGAGCTAAAAGCTGTCAAAACTGTTTGGTTAAATTATCACTATCAACTCACCACATTTGTTGGTAATTTATGTCCTGGAAGATACTTGACATTTTCATGATCCTGGTTGATGATTTCAGTAAGTTTCCTATCTTTTACCATTTCCTCAAACACCCACATACGAACTTCAGTGTCAAATTTGTCTGGCATTGCCAGCGCATTGTTTCCAACTATCTTGGCTATTGCTGAACCCCTGCAAGTATAAGGAGAAACTTCAATGAAATCCAGATGAGGGATAATTATTTGCATAGAATTTAGAAGATATCAGTTATGAATTTTAAATGAAATGTTGAAACACAAATTCCATTTTACACGAGAGTTACATGAATGTGTTTTTTAAAGGCAGGTAATACGACAGCCTTGAATTTGCATAGTGATTTATGTGTTTTCTTCGTGAAGATTACATCTGCACAGGAGGACATTTTTTCTACTCCTACTTTCAGTAGGTTTTATTTGGTTTAGCTTCCTTTTTAAGGAGGCTCCACCCTTTCGCAATTAGCCAGCAGAATTCAATGAAAGTTTCACATAATGGTTATGTCACTATGTAGAGATGATTTTATGAAAATCTAAGCATTCCAATAAACTGGGGATTTTTTTGTAAAAAATACAGAAATATTGAATTTTTGTCAAAGTCAACACTTTTACTTTTTTTGAGCGTGTGGCATTGTTCAAAACTATAACAACAATAAAATAACGAAAAGAAACATTGCTAATCAACCCTACAAATATTTTATTTATCATAAAATATCTACAACATGTTACGAAAAGCTTTTTATTGAAATTGTATGGATAACAGTTACTAAATACAAGCTAAAAGCAAACAGGACACATAGTTTCATACAAAAAGACTGAAAAATTGAACCAAATGCACACAAAGTCTTTATAATTAATTTATTTTACATTTTACAATAATTTTGATCCTGATGAGAGTTGTCTACCTTGAAAAAAACGGAACTTTTTGCAGAGTGATAGAATTTATGCAATGACACTTATTTTCTTTACTATACCAAAAAACGACGGAAGTAATTTAAATTACTAGATTTAATTGTCAATTTACTGTTCTTTTATGGAACAAAATTACTCTCAATCATGTACACTTTGGACATCATTCCATAGCCTGCTTACGCATGGTATATTAACATGTCAGGTACATATGTAACCATAGGCTATCGCATGGTATGCCGTTATTACGTGCACGCACATGCGCTTGCATTTTATAGGGATCTTGATATTTTACAAACCACTTTTTAACAAAGTTTTTGTAATTGCATTTGTGAACCGATTTATCTGACAGAGCGTAACTCGCTCGACAACAAAAGTTGTAGCGACCAAGAGCTTGTGAACTACTGTTAGCATGTGATACGTACAGGTGAGGTCAGTAAACAAAACACATCATTCTGCATTCCATGCGCCTCATATACGACCTTCTTGGAAGTCGTCTGATCATATGTCAGTGTTTGCCCGTGAGTTAATTAATGTCTTTGTATCATAAGCTTTATTTCTGAAGTACGTGTGATTACACATTTCCAAGTTAAGTCTCGATATCGGGTGTTGACATATCATCGTCATGCACGTGTACTATTGTTTACCCTGTGTTACTATAATTTACACCACAGTAATGGATTGCCCGATACGCAATACGGAAATGACGACACGAAAAATACGAAAAGAAAAACATGTGTATTACGAACGGTGGAAACTCCTTTACAGCTAAGATCATTGAAGGACATGCCTCCATGTGTGTAATGTATGAATGTGGGCTGGAGGCGGTATACTATATTATTGGTGTATTTGCCTTCTCACAATAGCGCAGATCTGAAGCCGACTAAAACCATGATGAAGGCACAAGAGCAGTCATATTGTAATGACATTGAGCTAATCAGTTCTGCAGGTTTTGGATAACCAATTTATGAGTTACATCATAGCAGATATTTGTTGTCAGCACCTCAAAAGTTTCCAACACCAAATGGTGTCAGTGAATTTCCACATTTTCATATACCGATAGTAGTGCGTTCTGGCCCCACACCAGACATCTATAAAACTGTCAAAATATTTAAGTCTTGTGTCAGGGCCAGAGGAAACTCAGACTAATTATAAATGATCGCAAGACAGGGAAATGAAATATCACGTTTCCCTCTGTAGAAAAAATGAGAAAGAAGCATCACAACTAAATTTCCTTTGACTGAAGCAGATAAAAGTGGTGCACAAGTCTGGTCGTCTTTATTTTTGTGTAATTATTCTACTTTGGGACCTATCTAATAAAGGTAAATATTTGAATGCAAACACTCTATGTTTCCCCTTAATTATGTTTCATCTCAACAAGGATCATGTTTCCCCCCACAACAATGGCAATAAAAACATATCTGGTTTCTTTTAAGTATGTACTTAACTGTCACAAGTCTGACATCTGACAGTGACTGTGCTCCATTAACTTAAAGATATTCTAGTTGTCATCTTCACTGACCCTAAACATTGTAGGCCAGAACAAAACAACGAGATATATACGGTTGACATTTGTTATCTGTTTAAAAAACCCCACTATATGTAGGTTACAGGCTACAGTACGTGTACATGCTAGTCTGCTGCAGTACAGTACAGTAGCCGTCGAAATATACGAACAAGGTTATATTAGCCTATGGAGTCGCAACCATAGCTAAGCAAGTTAAGACCTTTTTACACGAACAATGTGTCTGTTGTGTGTGCTATACAATATACTTACCAATTGCCTGATCCAATAATACATATCTTCTTTTTAGCGGATGCCATCTCCAACTCTGATACTCGGGATTTGTTCTTGAAAGTTTCGTCTGCCTGAAGTTTCACCGGTTGCACCTTACCGATGTAAGCGCAAATCTGATTGGTTGTTTAGGCAATTGTAGGGCAGCTGTGAAATTTGCCATGAACGCCACAGTTGCGTATCTTATCGGCAATATAATGAACACGATTTCATTACGCTCCATATTTTATCCTTTCTACTCATTTTCCTTTCTTTTCTTCGTCTGCTGGATAACCGAACTAATCGTTGAAAAGATTTGTACTTATTAGAATGGCTGGACTATTATCCTGTGCCATAGTCTAAGCATAACCAGAGACGTATCTGGCATAACTGAGTTTTTGCTATTACCAGTCGATATTACATACAGTAGGCTAAGTTAACAGTTACATTTTTTTTTACAAAATTCAGTTTAAGTTAAAAGTGTAAGTTGGGCTAAACTCGGGCCACTTTAGCATGGTAGTACATAATACCACGGAATTAGATTATCTAAGTCCGTGATAATACCATGTACGGTCGATATATGGTTTAAGATTATACAGAGGACACGTACGCGTACGCAAGTTTATCTCAAAAGTGAGAGCTGCACTACACTTAATTTGAACTTCAAAGGGATGTAAATGTGTACATGAAGTGTTGCGCGGTACACTTCATATGTTTTATTACAATATTTGTAAAATGTGCGCCAAACTGTAACGAAGAAAACCCGAATCCCGACAATGTCCGACCACGGAATTAAATTAGATGTTATCTAAGTCCGTGGTCCGACCGACATTGGTCAAAACGTGCATGGTATGTGATTTCGTTTGTAAATATGTAGGTATATGTTGAGTTCTACCCAAGGACTCGGAATTTGGGTTAGAACCGGATACAAATAAATTAAAGTGTGCCATTACCATTGACACTGTCGTCGAAAATATAAGTTTCAAAAAATAAAACCCGTAAAAATCACAGGTTAATTGCAATGCATTTAACAGGATTATAGAAACCAAGTTGTTTGTAATTTGAATGTTTTAAATGTTTTGAATAGACATAAAAAAAAAGAAGCTTGGGTGGTACTCGGGACCTTTACATTAATTGCAAAGCGTACACTCTACGAATGCAGCCCTCCAGTAAAGTCCCATTTCTGGACAGCCAAGCACGTGTGTAAATTAAGTTGACATGGAAGTTGCCCTGAGTCAGAAAATACTCGTTTTGGTTATTTCTTCCTCTATATGAAGGGGAGTATATTTTAAGTAAACAAGTCTCTAAGCGAAATTCTTATTCACAAATATAACTGATGCAATGATACCCTTTACATTAATAAATCGGATTTCGGGAAAACGCAATAATAACTTGAAGATAACGCAAACGCAACACTAAATCATAGAAACAATTCTAGATAACATATACACAAACTATAAGGTCATATTTGGAAAGAGCAAAAAACAGATATTGGTATACCTCATAGTTAAATTTCTAGACAAGACCTTCGGGGCAGCCTTGTACAGTAACTCTTGTTACTCTAAATTCTGGAGATTTGAGACATTTTTCTAGATAGTAGTGAATACATGGATACTTCAGGAATGCATGTACAGGTAAGTTTTTTTCATTCATTTTATTATTCATTGCAATTTTGCGCCACTAAAATTCTGCATCCAAAAATTACTTTTCAGACAAAATCAACAACATTTTCGACAAGTAATTTCTGCAAATGTCATTATTGACATTGTTCTTGACATGGGTATACCAAGCAACTTCAATATTTTATTCATTTTGAGGGAAGTTATGAGCCCTTCACACACTATATCCGCTGACATGAGCTATATGTACCTTAATTATGTTTTTCCCCATTGTGATGCTGTTGATGAATCTTTTAGGTAAGAACCGAATCATTCAATGACTGAGGCGAGAAACAATACATAGGTAGTACTGTTAAAGACATTTAATTTTCAACCTATCGACCCTCTGAAATTCCTTACGCGAGAATGCAAGAACGCGAAAACACGACGGTTACAACGCGAGAACGCGAAAACGCGAAAACCGACGGCGAAGAAGAGAGATTGGTGTCGCTCTGTCACCATCGTATTCTCGCTTTGACAAAGTCGTATTTACTCAAGTCACGTTGTCAACCTACGGTCGAAAGAGCGAGATTACGCGATTTGTGATTTGGACCTAACCGCGGCCAAATTCGTTGTATCAATCTAAATAATAAAAACTATATACATTTCGATAATAACATGAAACGTTATAATAACCATTTACACTGGTAAAATACAATATCTAAAGTAAAATATCGCTTAACTATACAATACAAAATCAGATACTAATTTGTCTATTACCAGACTATACTTGCATTTCTTGAACACCGGTTCGTTAATTCAAACTACTTTTATAGGAGGTGTTCCTGTGACTTTAAGAACGTCCAATTTGTGGTGTATGCCTACAAGTACAGCGGACGTGAAAAATGATTGACCGTCCGATCCAAGAAGTTGTTGAAAATATACAAAACATCATAGGTGTCTAATTCATGTTTATTTTACATGTTGAGGTCATCCCGCCACTTTATCAGCTTTCCTTGCGAGGTAACTTCGCCTTGGCGCGCGAGACAAATGAGGTTTGGTACAAAGGAGGCCGTTCCTCCGACACCAGTCCTAGATGTCCTTGTTACCGAGGATGAAGAGTGCTAAGCAGTTCCAGGGACTACTGCAATCTCCGATTATTATTCGTCTGACATCAGTCGCTTGATTACAGAAATGATCTATGACCAGTCTGTCGTGAAGTCATGACCTCTCATCACAAATTATGCAAATAAATGTGGAGTTTGATAATTGGTATTTCTACATCATTTAACCAAACATTTTGTTGTTTGATTGGGTTTACGTCCGCTTCACTACCGAGTAGTTCGGTTATCGAGCAGACGAAACCACACATTAGTACCCGTTATCTTTACAATTTAAAATGATAAATGGAAATGCATAACAAACTTAGTGGTATGACGACGGAATACAGTTAAGGATACTTATCTCCTTGTCGAGAGCCTATCACAAATACTAGTTTTGTTGACACATAACCGTCTCTCACCTCCGTTATGATTCACTCAGTGGTCCCCGTCAGTGTGTTTGTATTGTTGGTTGTTATGCGGAACACATACATGCTTAGATATGGTATTTGCTCTCTTCGAAATGTTGAAAGAAGGTTGTATTAAAGTGTCACGTTTTGATGTCTTCTTTCAGCAGGCCAATACACAATGCCAGCGCCGAGCGCGACTTACATAATGTAGCTACTAAGCTCAAGACCTTGACATTTTTCTGGTGTTCAGAGACTGATGTCGAGGATAAGTAATAATTTATTGCTTTCTACTAAATGCACATATCTCTCTCGGCCACTGAAATCATGTATATAGAATTTTACACTTTACATAAGACTTAAGCATATCGCATATGACAATTGGCATTGCGTACAGGCCTCCGACGCTGCTGCCAAATTTAACGTCTGAACGGGCACAAAGGTCTATTCCAAATCGCTGGGTAAAAAACTAGTTTGCAAGTAAGGCAGTATTTCCCTCCTCAAATTCATGGGTTTGTTGTACTTGTATTGATAGGTGATGGCAAATTACTGAACTGTACGTCCATTGGATGGACAGCCTTGGACAGAAATCCCTCATTGTCGCGTCCTGATATGCCATCATGAGTAAAGATAATATTTGTATTACCGTTGTGTATGTTGTGTTTGTATACGCAGTCTGTAATAAATATAAGTCTAATACTCTCGTCCATATGTCATCACGAGTCAAACCCCCTTACTATCGTCCCACTAAATGTCGTTGTTTCATATAATGATCTTACTATCGTCCCACTAAATGTCATTGTTTTATATAATACTCTTATCATCGTCCCACTAGATGTCATTGTTTTATATAATACTCTTACCATCGTCCCACTAAATGTCATTGTTTTATATAATACTCTTATCATCGTCCCACTAGATGTCATTGTTTTATATAATACTCTTATCATCGTCCCACTAGATGTCATTGTTTTATATAATACTCTTATCATCGTCCCACTAGATGTCATTGTTTTATATAATACTCTTATCATCGTCCCACTAGATGTCATTGTTTTATATAATACTCTTATCATCGTCCCACTAGATGTCATTGTTTTATATAATACTCTTATCATCGTCCCACTAGATGTCATTGTTTTATATAATACTCTTATCATCGTCCCACTAGATGTCATTGTTTTATATAATACTCTTATCATCGTCCCACTAGATGTCATTGTTTTATATAATACTCTTATCATCGTCCCACTAGATGTCATTGTTTTATATAATACTCTTATCATCGTCCCACTAGATGTCATTGTTTTATATAATACTCTTATCATCGTCCCACTAGATGTCATTGTTTTATATAATACTCTTATCATCGTCCCACTAGATGTCATTGTTTTATATAATACTCTTATCATCGTCCCACTAGATGTCATTGTTTTATATAATACTCTTATCATCGTCCCACTAGATGTCATTGTTTTACATAATACTCTTATCATCGTCCCACTAGATGTCATTGTTTTATATAAATGTCCAATTTTGAATCTCCACAACTATCAATTATGGTTGACATCCATCTCATATTCCAGAGTAGATGCTCAAAGACCTGCGACCAAATGACACCTTTTTGTCCTAGCTACCCAATTTTGAATTGCCCCAATTTAAGGATGTCACCAGATAAGTTTGATGAATTTTGTTCATTAGTTCAGAAGAAGTCATTTGAAGAAATTTTTGACGGAAGGACAGACAATGGATGCTGGGATAAGGCATCTTTTAGAAAAATCTAGGAATCTGATAGGTTAACAAGAGGCCCAATGGGCCTGCATCGCTCACCTGGTATTAATCTCACACTTGTAATCTTTAAAGTGGACTAAAGTACAGCTACAGGCAGAATATCAGTATGACCTTGAATGTCAAACAATGACATTAGGTTGAAAGTGCGTCAAGGTCATTCATTTGAACAAATTTGGTAGCCCTGATTGCTACAGGCCAAATATCAGTACCCTGGGCCTTTTGGTTATGAGAAGAAGTTGTTTGAAGATTTTAAGGCATTTGACACCTGTGACTTTGAAAGTTGGTCAAGGTCATTCATTTGAACAAACTTGGTAGCCCTTCATCCCAGCATGCTACTGGCCAAATATCATCACCCTGGGCATTTTGGTTATTCAGAAGAAGTTGTTCAAAGGTTTTAAACATATTTGACCCCTGTGACCTTGAAAATGGATGAAGGTCATTTATTTGAACAATTTGGTAGCCCTTCATTCCAGCATGCTACTGGCCAAATATCATCACCTTAGGCCTCTTGGTCATTCAGAAGAAGTTGTTTAAATGTTTTAAACATATTTGACCCCTGTGACCTAGAATATAAGTCAATGTCATTTATTTGAACAAACCTGGTAGCACTTCAACCCAGCATGTTACTGGACAAATCTCATCACCCTAGGCCTATCGGTTATCCAAAAGTTGTTGAAAGGTTTTAAACATATTTGAACCCTGTGACCTTAAATATAAACCAAGGTCATTTATTTGAACAAATTTGGTAGCCCTTTATCCCAGCAAGTTACTGGCCAAATTAAGGCACCATAGGCCTCTTGGTTATTCAGAAGAAGTTGTTTAAAGGTTTTAAACATATTTGACCCCTGTGACCTTGAATATAAATCAAGGTTATTTATTTAAACAAACTTGGTAGCCTTTCATTCCAGCATGTTACCAGCCAAATTTAAGCACCCTAGGCCTATTGGTTAATCAGAAGAAGTTGTTTAAATGTTTTAAACATATTTGACCCCTGTGACCTTGAAAATGGATGAAGGTCATTTATTTGTACAAACTTGGTAGCCCTTCATCCCAGCATGCTTCTTTCCAAATATCATCACCCTAGGCCTATCGGTTATTCAGAAGAAGTTGTTGAAAGGTTTTAAACATATTTGACCCCTATGACCTTGAATATAAGTCAAGGTCATTTATTTGAACAAACTTGGTAGCCCTTAATCCCAGCATGCTGCTGGCCAAATATCATCACCCTAGGCCATTTGGTTACTGAGAAGAAGTTGTTTAAAGTAAAATGTTGACGCCGAACGGACGCCGGACGTGGCACCATGCCATAAGCTCACTTAAAAACTACAGTGTACCAAACCGATTCGTAAATCTCAGGGGGTATACAAAAATCTCAGGGGGTATACGGTCATGTCACGTGATTCTCAGCAGTAATACGGTGGAATCAAGTGATTGTATCTTGCGGCCGGGCAACAGGAGACAACTCGCATTCGTCGTCTGCTTCGATGTAATTTGTTAATAAATTTGTTGATTTGTTTAATTGTTATTTTTCTTTGTTGTTATTATAAAAGACTCAAAGGGGTAATAAGTTCGTTACACGGATTTTTGGCAGGGTATACGGGATGGTATGACCCTACATGATTTTGTATTTCCTCAGGCCTATCGGCCTCAGGAAATACGAAACCCTTTAGGGTCATACCATCCCATATACCCTGCCAGAAATCCATGTAACTAATAAACTCACCTTGGTAATTAAGACCTGGCACCAGGATCATGAAATAATTATGCATTTTACTTAGCCAATCACGTATGATGTCATTTGATATAACATTATTTGTGATTGGTTAAGTGAAAACTTAAGACAATTTTAGAGTTAAGATGTTTCATGTTCCTGGGGCCAGGTGTGCTAAAAACTGATTGCACAAAGAAAGCATATCCAATGCAATTTGATCATTTGTTTATTAAAAATTTATTTAGAATTAATAAAAAGTATGTTATGATGTATCATATTTCACTTCCTGAAGCACAGTTCATTGTATCAGAATCATATCAAATGGAAATTTGTATAACAACATTCTCATTTCCATTGTGCACAATATATTGTTGCCCATAGCCATTGTCGTGGTTGATACAATCATTTAGCATCTTACGATACAAGCAAGAGAACTGCAAATGGTACATAACCTGCCCACTAACATGGTTGTGAGAGACAAATTCCTGAGTCTTAAGTAATAGCAATCGGAGTCAAAGCAATTCAGACTTTGGTTCAAGAAATAAGGAGAAAGTTATATAAATCTAGCTGAAACATTTTTCATCATCATAATTAAGATTCTTTAACTGTGACCTCGACCTTGACATATGACCTTCACATTTGACTGATGTTCAAGAATTGATGTCAGGAATGGTTTTGCAAAATATTTCTGTCAAGATTCTGAAGCTATGACCGTGATCTTGAAAATATGACCTTGACTTTTAACTGGTCAGGATATGTCAGGAATACTTTTAAGACATTTCTTGAAATTTGGTTGAAAAATTTAGTCAGGAACTTGCAGACAAACTTTCATATTCCTATTATCATACAAATATTCTGTAGTGTGATCTTGAATTGCGCCTTTGAACTTCCACCGAGTCAGCAGAGGCTGACGCCAGGAATAATGTGTGATCATTCGCGAAATGTTGTTGACAACCTCAGTTAGGAACCTGCAGATTAGCCATATACAATTGTTTCATCATTATGTATAGATTCCATAACCTTGACCTTGAATATATGACCTTGACTTTCAACTAGGCTCCAGAGATTGATGTCAGGAATGCTTGTGTGAAGCTGATGGCAAGTTTAATGTTCACAGACTGATGGCCAGATGAATGGACGGACAGACAAACATACAGGATGATGCTGCTGATGCATATGCTCCGCCAAATGCAGGCATAATCAATACCATAATTTTACAATGCTGATTTCTTCCAATTTTTATAGGTTGTAATCATTGTCATGTCTCTGCCCTATATCATCAAGATAGATTCTGTTACAATTTGTTTGCGGTCAAATCGTAAATTGACTGGACAGAGTATCGTAATCCTGATCACTACCGACATTATCCAACAGCAGCCAATCGGCACTGAGAAAGTATCGTAATCCTGATCACTACCGACATTATCCAACAGCAGTCAATCGGCACTGAGATAGTATCGTAATCCTGATCACTACCGACATTATCCAACAGCAGTCAATCGGCACTGAGGTAACTTCTATGTCATACATCGCATTGTTTGTCATCCCATGTTCTGCCTATTGCCCCATCCTTTTCGATGTTCTGAAAAACAAAAGGCACAAGAGCTTTAACAGTCACATGAGTTGTAATATGTTTTTTGTTGTTGAGATGGGAAGTAAAAGTATTCCTGTGTGTAAAGTAAAATGTTATCAAACAGAAAAGAGGCACAGCCTGTTCAAGTCTTCTCCAGTTTATTATTTGTATAATGGTATTTTTTGTGGAATATGGAATTATAATATATACCTCTTTATCTAATGACACAAGAGAGAAAAATGTTATATCTTTAAACTTTCTTCACATTTGTGATCATGCAGTGTTACACTTTATCCCAGCTAGCCACTGGCTAAACAATGAATAAAAAACAAATAATTTATTTGATCAATTTTGATAGCCATATATCCCTATAAGGAACTTACCAAATATCAATTTCCCACGTCTTACAGTTCATTAGAAACAGAGGACCGCATGGTTAGGAACTTACTCAACAAGGCAACGTATTGCAAAGCAATCCATAGTCCCAAATGATTTCTGACCTATTTGTACTTGACACTCCGCCATCCCAAGATGTACTTGCATACAAAATCTGATTACTCTAGGTGAAATAGTGAAGAAAATATGCCCACTGACAAAACTTTTTTCAAAGGTTGATGTAAAAGGTCAAACCATAGGTCACAGTGACCTACTTTTTATACATGACATTCTGACATCTCAAGATGTACTTGCATACAAAATCTGGTTACTCAAGGTGAAATAGTATAGAAGATATGTCCCCGACACATTTTTGGGACAGAAAACCGATTGAAGGACAGACGGAGTGCAAACCTTTAGTCCCTAAAGTGAACCTTAACTAATAAAACATCAATTTTTAATCACCATGCCTATATATCTACACATTTTCATACAACTTAACTGCCATCCAATAATATCATATCAAGCTGAGTTTGAACAATTCCCTACCGAATATAACCATACATGCCAACAAGAGGCCCAGAGGGTCCATATTGCTCATATTTCAGCGACTATGGCAGCATTTTATCATTAAAAGCAACTTTACAAATATTTCCCCATTTTGTGTTCCATCTCTCTTGTCTTCATAGCAAATTTGGCTGAGATCTAAAAATATGTTCATGTTACTAGAGTTGGATCTAAGTTGTTTCTATGGGACCAAGGCGAATGATTTTCAATTCGTCATCAAGTAGTAGCAGAACTCACTTGCACAAATACTTATAACTAGGCTAAAGGTGAATTGTACTGTTATCTAATTTAATGATGACATTTTCAGTGATCCAATTCTTTGACCAGTCAGACAAATAGCCTGATTGTCTAGAGCTTGATGTACACAGGGCACACTGTATATGGTAATAGGATGGATATCTCAATCATTTCCATGATTTTAATAACCCAAGGAACTAGTCCTAGAACCAGTAGGACCCGGTGGAAATCATGACAGCTCGAGTGTAGTCATCTCTTCATGCTCAGCTATTTCATATATCAATGGTAATAGGTTTGAATCTCAACTATTCCATGTTATGACCCAGAAACAAAGTCCCTAGGGGTAGGGCCAAACCCTGGTATGACCCAGAAACAAAGTTCCTAGGGGTGGGGCCAGACCCTGGACTGATCAAGGTTATTTCCATCTCACAGTTCCAGATAAGAAGACACTTAAACAATATGGCCAATAAGACATGTTTTTTCCCCTCTCCTTCAGCCTCCTGGGGGTCAGTCCCTTCAATTGTTTACTTTTGAATCTCCACCACTTGAGAATGAGATTCTGACAAAATATGGTTGATATTCTTCTCTCAGTTCTAGATGGGAACTCACTTAAATTAATATGACCAAATATTACTCCTTTTTGGCCCAATTCCTCAGCCCCTCCAATCTCTCCATTTGTACAATTAGGAACCCCTTCCACCGATGGGTATTTCCAGTCTAATTTGGTAAAATTATATTCAATGGTTAAGAAGTCATATGAAGAATTGTTTACAGACAATTGGATGGTCATATAGCCAGTATGGCATAAGGCTAAGCTGACCCTGGTTCTTCTGCCTGGGTGAACTCAAAACATTGACAGATGGCGCTGTAAGATTCATACAACTTTTTGCTGTACAAATGTCAACCCACCAGTACCTACCAAAGCTACCTATTATACTGTACAAATGTCAACCCACCAGTACCTACCAAAGCTACCTGTTATACTGTACAAATGTCAACCCACCAATACCTAACGAAGCTACCTTTTATATTGTATAAACGCAACTCATCAGTACCTAACGAAGCTACCTGTTATATTGTATAAATGTCAACCCATCAGTGCCTACCTAATTAGTTACCTGTTATACTGTATAAATGTCAACCCATCAGTGCCTACCTAATTAGTTACCTGTTATACTGTATAAATGTCAACCCCTGGTACATCCCAAAGTAACATGTTTTATATTATCAATATAGAATATTACCACTACCTACCATCTTTCCATTCATCCCAGTTCCGAGCTTTCTGTAGTTCTTCAGGATCGTCTGTTTCAATCTTGTTTTCCTTCTCCTCAGCCTCTTTCTCCCTGTCCTCATTGTCTTTATCGGGGCCTGCCGCTATGTTCTGCATGCTATCTCTGCAGGTCACATAAGTATGAATATGAATACTTTTGTTTTGTCAAGAATAGGCTAAGAGAATATTTGAGTTCCATGAAGAATAGGCTAAGAGAATATTTGAGTTCCATGAAGAATAGGCTAAGAGAATATTTGAGATATTTTGTACGGTCTATTAAAACATATTACTCATATCTGCTGTCCATCAAGGACACGGGTACGTCTACATAACAGTAAATGTTCTAGATTTCACACAGATTGCCTTGTTCAATGTGCTTATTTATTTTCACTAGCCAAAAATGCAATTTAATATCCTAACTGATTATTAGCCAACAGCTATAAAACTAAATGAAAATAGAAATGGTGAGCAACACCACCACTGAATTCGGTACAAAATGGGTCTCCACCCCTGGTTGTTACTAGCTGTAAAACTAGTTCAATCTGAACTTAAACTTATAATTACGGTGGCTACCTGGTAAAAACAATGATGGTTGTCATTTTTCAAAATACAACAATGTATTACAGTATCCACAATATAAAGCCACAATTTTAACTTCGTGCAAACTCCTTAAACCTGGAAATGACGTATGTTGAACCATACATATGATAAATATTTACCAATTTGGCATTGCCCGTAAGTGTGTGTATGGTTATAAGGCCTTGGGGTTATCACACTAGGATGTGAAAATCACCACCTAAACCTGACTTATCCTTGAATGACCACAGCTGGTAATAGGATGTAAAACACAGACAACCAACCAACCCAGAGCTCTGCACTGCACCCAACCCTAGCGGTGGAAAGATCAAGCCAGTCCCAGTAACATGAGTGTGTAATCTCTTCATGCCCTGCAAGAAGTTACCGGTATATCATCATCAATGGTTTTGATGTTATATTCTAACCAGGGACCTCCCCAATGGCAGGTCAGTACCCTTCGGCAAATCTTGGTAGCGTAAGTATATTTATCTCATCATACAAATACATGTATGGTCAAAGGTTGCAGATTTTTTTTGAGATTTGAATATTTCATAGTTGAAAAACACATACCTGTATACATAATTATGTCAAAGAGATTTATGAATGTAAATATAGATGAAATGATGAGGCCCTGGGTTGGACCCCACGAACAGTAAAACTTTCCCCAACACCGGAGGACTTTCAATCACCATACCCCTTTCATTTATAATTTCTACAACAGTAACAAACATTTAATATTTAATATACGAATTATTATCTATATGATAAAGGTGTTGATTTTACCATGATGTTATTATAAACAGCTATGGTCATTTGAGATGTGTTTCCATGTGTGCTTGAGGTGGTATGTTGGGGTATATGTCTTCCAAGAGGGCAGATCTGATGCCAATTTTAGAATGCTACCCCACAAAAATACCGTGCTGAAAGCACCAAACACAGTATTCCACCAATTGAAATTACACTGCCAATAGGTAAGCCAGTCCATACTGCGACCCATTAAAAGCCGAATATCAAGCAGAGAGTGGTAACTACCATTTACAGAACTTTGGTTTGTCTCAATCAGGGGACAGAACCCATAACCTTCCTTGCTAGGGCAAACACTAAACACCAAGACCAAACATTTTATGTGACTTTGTCACACATAAACATTTCACTCGATGCGGTTTATGAACCTGTAAACAATCTTTACTTACCTTCTTGAAGAACATGTTTCTAAAGAGATAAAATGTTGATTGAAGAAGGACAAATAGAAGCCCGATATTTAGTATCTTACTTAAGATTCCAGTGTACACAGGTGATGTGTTGAACCCTTATTCCAATGTTGTGCCTCGACTTACACTTACCCTGCTCCGGGCGGCTGAAATGTACCATCCTTGAGCTTCTGTTCATAAAATTCCTCAATGGTGACAGTTGGAATGCTGGGATATCCTAGTCCAAACACCTGCTTCTGTATCATGTCCTTGGTGATGATAAACGGACGTATGGCCTGAAAAATCAACACATTTATTAATGGTTGCTACAGGACAAACATTGATCAATGCTCATCTGCTACTTGATGAGTAAAAAGTGTAACAACTAGACTTTATAAAGAGTGTACAATATACATCAAAGGTTACATTCCTAGGCCACCTTTTGATTTAACTAGTTGTCAAGTTCATAACAATACTGTATTTAAAGGTTTTCAGGTAAATAAACCTGGCGATCCCCCCTGACCTACCACCTATCAGTAACACCAGTGACACACGATACATGTACTGAGTAGTACCAAAATAAAACTGGTGATGCCCCCTGACCTACCTCCTATCAGTAACACCAGTGAAACACGGTACATGTACTGAGTAGTACCACAACAAAACTGGCGATTCCCCCTGACCTACCCCCTATCAGTAACACCAGTGATACACGAGACATGGACTGAGTAGTACCACAATAAAACTGGTGATTCCCCCTGACCTCCCACCTATCAGTAACACCAGTGATACAGGGTACATGTACTGAGTAGTACCACAATAATCCTGGCGATCCCCCCTGACCTACCACCTATCGGTAACACCAGTGATACACGATACATGTACTGAGTAGTACCACAATAATCCTGGCGATCCCCCCTGACCTACCACCTATCGGTAACACCAGTGATACACGATACATGTGCTGAGTAGTACCACAATAAAACTGGTGATTCCCCCTGACCTCCCACCTATCAGTAACACCAGTGATACAGGGTACATGTACTGAGTAGTACCACAATAAGACTGGCGATTCCCCCTGACCTACCACCTATCAGTAACACCCGTGATACACGATACATGTACTGAGTAGCACCACAATAAAACTGGCGATTCCCCCTGCCCTACCACCTATCAGTAACACCAGTGACACACGATACATGTACTGAGTAGTACCACAATAAGACTGGCGATTCCCCCTGACCTACCACCTATCAGTCACACCAGTGATACACGGTACATGTACTGGGTAGTACCACAATAAGCCTGGCGATCCCCCCTGCCCTACCCCCTATCAGTAACACCAGTGATACACGGTACATGTACTGAGTAGTACCACAACAAAACTGGCGATTCCCCCTGACCTACCACCTATCAGTAACACCAGGGATACACGATACATGTACTGAGTAGTACCACAATAAAACTAGCGATTCCCCCTGACCTACCACCTATCAGTAACACCCGTGATACACGATACATGTACTGAGTAGCACCACAATAAAACTGGCGATTCCCCCTGACCTACCCCCTATCAGTAACACCAGTGATACACGAGACATGGACTGAGTAGTACCACAATAAAACTGGTGATTCCTCCTGACCTACCACCTATCAGTAACACCAGCGATACGCAATACATGTACTGAGTAGTACCACAATAATCCTGGCGATCCCCCCTGACCTACCACCTATCAGTAACACCAGTGATACACGATTTATAAATAAAATATCCATGCAATGAAAGTTAATTCTAATGACATTCTATACCGGTTTGTATATGTTAACTGTCCTTGGTACAGGGATGCTTCATACCAAATCTAGTTAAAAAGAGTAGCTATAATACCTCCGGGGACACACAGTGTGAATAATGTCTAACACACAGATATGTCTTTAGTTCAACACATTGATATTCATACATGTACTTATAAGTCCTTTAATAGACCAATGCTGTAGTATTAGTACTTATAAGTCCTTTAATAGACCACTGGTGTAGTATTAGTACTTATAAGTCCTTTAATAGACAACTGCTGTAGTATTAGTACTTATAAGTCCTTTAGATCAGTAACACCAGTGATACACGATACATGTACTGAGTAGTACCACAATAAGCCTGGCGATCCCCCCTGACCTACCACCTATCAGTAACACCAGTGATACACGATACATGTACTGAGTAGTACCACAATAAGCCTGGCGATCCCCCCTGACCTACCACCTATCAGTAACACCAGTGATACACGATACATGTACTGAGTAGTACCACAATAAGCCTGGCGATCCCCCCTGACCTACCACCTATCAGTAACACCAGTGATACACGATACATGTACTGAGTAGTACCACAATAAGCCTGGCGATCCCCCCTGACCTACCACCTATCAGTAACACCAGTGATACACGATTTATAAATAAAATATCCATGCAATGAAAGTTAATTCTAATGACATTCTATACCGGTTTGTATATGTTAACTGTCCTTGGTACAGGGATGCTTCATACCAAATCTAGTTAAAAAGAGTAGCTATAATACCTCCGGGGACACACAGTGTGAATAATGTCTAACCCACAGATATTTCATTAGTTCAACACATTGATATTCATACATGTACTTATAAGTCCTTTAATAGACCAATGCTGTAGTATTAGTACTTATAAGTCTTTTAATAGACCACTGCTGTAGTATTAGTTCTTATAAGTGCTTTAGTGACAGATCACTGCTGTAGTATTAGTCCTTATAAGTCCTTTAGTAACAGACCACTGCTGTAGTATTAGTACTTATAAGTCCTTTAGTTGTAGACCACTGCTGTAGTATTAGTACTTATAAGTGATTTAGTGACAGATCACTGCTGTAGTATTAGTCCTTATAAGTCCTTTAGTGATAAACCACTGCTGTAGTATTAGTACTTATAATTCCTTTAATAGACCACTGCTGTAGTATTAGTACTTATTAGTGCTTCAGTAACAGACCACTGCTGTAGTATTAGTACTTATAATTCCTTTAATAGACCACTGCTGTAGTATTAGTACTTATAATTCCTTTAGTGACAGACCACTGCTAGTATTAGTACTTATAAGTCCTTTAGTGACAGGCCACTGCTGTAGTATTAGTACTTATAAGTGCTGTAGTGACAGACCACTGCTGTAGTATTAGTACTCATAAGTCCTTTAGTGACAGACTACTGCTGTAGTATTAGTACTTATAAGTCCTTTAGGGACAGACCACTGCTGTAGTATTAGTACTTATAATTCCTTTAGTGACAGACCACTGCTGTAGTATTAGTACTTATAAGCCCTTTAGTGATAGACCACTGCTGTAGTATGAGTACTTATAAGTGCTTTAGTGACAGACCACTGCTGTAGTAATAGTACTTATAAGTCCTTTAGTGACAGACTACTGCTGTAGTATTAGTACTCATAAGTCCTTTAGTGACAGACTACTGCTGTAGTATTAGTACTTATAAGTCCTTTAGTTGTAGACCACTGCTGTAGTATTAGTACTTATAATTCCTTTAATAGACCACTGCTGTAGTATTAGTACTTATAAGCCCTTTAGTGATAGACCACTGCTGTAGTATGAGTACTTATAAGTGCTTTAGTGACAGACCACTGCTGTAGTATTAGATATTCATACATGTACTTATAAGTCCTTTAATAGACCAATGCTGTAGTATTAGTACTTATAAGCCCTTTAGTGATAGACCACTGCTGTAGTATTTGTACTTATAAGTCCCTTAGTGACAGACCACTGCTGTAGTATCAGTACTTATAAGTCCTTTAGTGACAGACCACTGCTAGTATTAGTACTTATAAGTCCTTTAGTGATAAACCACTGCTGTAGTATTAGTACTTATGTAGTATAAGTACTTATAAGTCCTTTAGTGACATACCACTGCTGTAGTATTAGTACTTATAAGCCCTTTAGTGATAGACCACTGCTGTAGTATGAGTACTTATAAGTGCTTTAGTGACAGACCACTGATGTAGTATTAGTACTTATAAGTCCTTTAGTAACAGACAACTGCTGTAGTATTAGTACTTATAAGTGCTGTAGTGACAGACCACTGCTGTAGTATTAGTCCTTATAAGTCCTTTAGTGATAAACCACTGCTGTAGTATTAGTACTTATAAGCCCTTTAGTGATAGACCACTGCTGTAGTATTAGTACTTATAAGTGCTTTAGTGACAGATCACTGCTGTAGTATTAGTACTTATAAGTCCTTTAGTAACAGACCACTGCTGTAGTATTAGTACTTATAAGTCCTTTAGTGACAGATCACTGCTGTAGTATTAGTACTTATAAGTCCTTTAGTGATAGACCACTGCTGTAGTATTAGTACTTATAAGTCCTTTAGTGATAAACCACTGCTGTAGTATTAGTACTTATAAGTCCTTTAGTGACAGACCATTGCTGTAGTATTAGTACTTATAAGTGCTTTAGTGACAGACCACTGCTGTAGTAAACAAGTGTTATTGTAATTAACATACTGCTGGCTTCTTTTTCTGGTATTCCTCCTTCCTCTCCTGTACATCACCCTGAGCACCTTCTCGAAGTTCTAACATCTGAATTTCAACTGAAAATAAACCAAGTTATTTATTCATACACATTACAAGAAAGGTGATGAAAAGATGTCTTTATGGAAGTGCATTTTGGCCTTAAAGACCTATCTATAGCTACCCTTAGTCTATAGCGTACACCTGTCTATAGCATACACCTGTCTATAACTACCACCTGTCTATAGCTACCACCTGTCTATAGCTACCACCAGTCTGTAACTAGTCAAACTGGTCTTATAGACCACCTATCTATAGCTACCCTTAGTCTATAGCGTACACCTGTCTATAGCTACCACCAGTCTCTAACTAGTCAAACCAAACTCGCCTTATAGACAGACCACCTGTCTATAGCTACCATTAGTCTATAGCTAACACCTGTCTTTAACTACCATTAGTCTGTAACTAGTCAAACTGGCCTTATAGACAGACCACCTGTCTTTAGCTAACACTAGTATGTAACTAGTCAAACTGGCCTTATAGACCACCTATCTAAAGCTAACACCTGTCTATAGCTATAACTACCACCAGCCTGTAACTAGTCAAACTGGCCTTATAGACCACCTATCTATAGCTAGCATTAGTCTATAGTTAACACCTGTATATAGCTACCACCAGTATATATAACTACCACCTGTCTACGGCTAACACCTGTCTATAACTACCACTAGTCTGTTACTAGTCAAACTGGCCTTATAGACAGACCACCTGTCTATAGCTACCATTAGTCTATAGCTAACACCTGTCTATAACTATCACCAGTACATATAACACCTGTCTATAGCTAGCACCTAAAACAATTCTAAGGGAGTGGATGTGTCGCTTGCGCAGGCAACTCTAATTAGATTATGAAGATGGGATCTATTTATATTAGCAGTGACTACGATCAACCCAAGGGATGTCGAGTTATCGCACGGAAACCTTGTTTCAGACGACGCAACCAATATGGACGCAGACTTTGACATAATAATACCCGGTACCTTTATGTCGCCTCTCGTTGCAGGCAACACAAAAATCAAGACAGTGTTTTTCAAATCCTTCCAGTAGAACAAAAGTTATTGAGCATCGAAATCTGGACAAAGTTTTGAAGAAATTTAAGAAAATTGCACACACCCTTATGCCAATAAACACTCGTACCAAGTTCCGTTAAAATCCACCGCATAGTTTCAAAATACGTGTCGGACAAGACTTTGGCAGAAGAATTATGAATTAAAACATTTGGGGTCTTAATAATTAGTGCTAATTGTAATGGGGACCATAACAGAATTCTCCCAAATGACCCCACAAATTCAGAATCCCATACCACGTCAACAAACAAATTAACCAGTTTAATTTGTCCAACTTGTATCTTGGAAAGTCTTCATTTTTCATACAAAGCAATCCCAAGCAAGCACTTCTAGTAAGGAAGCACAGCATGAAGTTTGAGTTCAATCAACTCTAAGGAACTCAAGTTATCACACAGAAAAAGATTTTCTACTTATAGTTACGATGACCTTGACCTTTGACCTTCGGACCTGAAAACCAATCCCAAGCAACCACTATCGGTAAGAAAACACTGTGTGAAGTCTGAGTTCAATCGACCTAAAGAAACTCAAGTTATCACAGGAAACAGATTTTCTATTTATAGTAATGGTGACCTTGACCTTTGAACTTCAGACCAGAAAAGCAATTTCAAGCAAGCACTATTAGCAAGGAAGCACTGTATGAAGTCTGAGTTCAGTCAACCCAAGGGAACTCCAGTAATCGCACGAAAACCTGTTTTCTATTTAAAGTAATTGTGACCTTGACCTTTGACTTTCGGACCTGAAAAGCAATCCCAAGCAAGCAGTTTAAGTAAGGAAGCACTGTATGAAGTCTGAGTTCAGTCAACCCAAGGGAACTCCAGTAATCGCATGGAAACATTTTTTCTATTTATAGTAATGGTGGCCTTGACCTTGGACCTTCAGACCCTAAAAAGCAATCCCAAGCAAGCACTATTGGTAAGAGAGCACTGTATGAAGTCTGAGCTTGATAGACCTAAAGAAACTCAAGTTATCGCACGGAAACAGATTTTCTATTGAAGGTAACAGTGACCTTGACCTTTGACCTTTGGACCTGAAAAACAATCCCAAGCAAGCACTTTTAGTAAGAAAGCACTGTATGAAGTCTGAGTTCAGTCAACCCAAGGGAACTCAACTTATCGAACGGAAACCTTGTTTTGGACAACGCAACTGAAGACGACAACGGTGATGCCGACAAAGTAATACCTATATGAGCGGATAAATTTTGTCTACTCACAGTTAATGCCTGACAGCTCCTCAGAGGCAATGTTCACCCATTTCTTCAATAAGGTTACGTAGTATTCTCTCTGGAGTAAACAAAGGATAAAAAAGGATACAAATCGGACTAAAATAATTAATGCATTACAATTATCATCCATGATGTTTGTATTCTCTGAGCTGCCATCTGGAAAAAACTTTCATCGAAAATATCCTTATTGTCAACAATCTGGTGTTGAGGAGTTTGCATTATTCTATATTCCCTCCCACTGTTTACTGAAATAGCTAAAATGCTAAATGATATTTCATTGAAAGAAGTGGAAGAAATTACTACCATTCAAGGGGAGTAACTCTTGAACTTCCTCATAACTCTACCATCAATATCACAAGGTATATTTTTAAAGAGTGCAGTTTATTATTATTACAACAATTATTTAAAACCATTTCTTAATATTATATTTTCTTAGAAGTGTTGTATGAATACAAAATTAAGTTGTTTATATGTTTTTTTAATATTTTTCAGGAATTTTACACAATAGTATAATTTTTTTATAGATATCAAAAATAATAACAATACATATTTCATTTTTTTTGATAAATATGTGCGAAGACAGCTATGAACATAAAAATTCAATCATGAAAGCTCAGAATTGGATGAAAACTGATTAACAGATCCACCCCTCGGGTTTGCCTGACAACATTATAAAATTTCAGAATAAGGGTTCATCACATTATCCTTCTTTTTCCAGTCATGCTTGCCTGACAGAATTTTCCTTTTTCTATATAAACAAACAGTATTTAATGTTTTAGAAGATGCTGTTTTTTTGAGATTCAACGGTACAGTTACATTTGTTATTAACTTCACATTAGTGTCTGTGGGTATAATGCCGCTGAGCTTATAGTCAAGTGGATGATTTTTTTTTACTTTATTTTTTCATATATCTTTACTTTCCAAAAAATTGCTTAACATTTATGACTTCCATGGATTTGTTACGTTTTTTGGAAAATAATATTATTAAATGCCTCTGGGTCAAATCAGAGTAAAATATCCAAAGTAAGTACCCCAAGGTAACTGGCAGGATACTTCTGTAACCATGATACCTGGTAACCAAGTACTGACCTTGACCTCTTCGTCCACATGTTCTTTGTCAATGTACAGTTTAAGGTCTGCCAGTTTGGCCTCCAGCTCCTTCTGTTCCTTGAACATCTGTATCTTACTCTCTCTTTCACTAATCATCTTCATCATACCCGGGGGACTGAAAACAATCAAGATCGGGTGGAAAATTAATTACCTCACAAATCTTGGTTTTACTTAAAGTTTTCCTATTTGCACTGTGATATTTGAAAACCTGCTGCAGCAACGTTGATCCCACAGAGCTGGGTCACAAGCCAAACCAAGATTACCTGATCCAGCCTGTACTGTAGAACAAATATCATCTGACTTATTAGAAATCTGGTATATTGTTTGGTAGGTTGTACAGGGTTTAACATCCCATCAACAGCTAAGGTCATTTCAGGACTTTAGACCTGTAATCAAAGCACTTTAATTTCTTTTCATTTTTCCTTAAATTTGTCAAAACATTAAAACCCTTGATTTTGCAATTTGATGATGTGATAATTAACGACACTTTAATTGGTAGTGGCCTTTAAAGAGGAAAATAAGGATCATCTAAGATATCCTGAAATATGACTTGGGGCAATAAAACGACATTTTGGTAATTAAACTTAATTAATTTCCAATCCTCTTAAACTTCAGGAAGTAAGACAAATAATAAATTTGAAAGTGTAAACATGTACTTTTAAATGCAGTTACAAGGTAAATACAAGAGGCGTATGGGTTGAACGGTAACAATTATAAACTATGACATATAGATACATGCCGAACATAATATAAATCTTCATTTATATACATTCATTAAAGTTGTAATTGGTTGAACTAAAATGTTTATCATTTTTCATTAACCAAACTGACAAAAGGGATCTTTCTCTGCTTTGATGTCTCATATGTACCTGTTCAGGGATGAAAAGTGTATTGAAACTGAATCTACCAGTGGTCAATTTACTTTTGATTAATTTCCATGAACATGTTAAGTATATAGACATACACTACCAGGTAGGGCCTAGCTTGAGACTTCAAAAACCTAGTCCGAGACTACAAGGGTCTAGGCTGAGACTACAAGGGCCTAGGCTGAGACTACAAGAATCTAGTCCGAGACTACAAGGGCCTCGGCTGAGACTACAAGGGCCTAGGCTGAGACTACAAGGGTCTAGGCTGAGACTACAAGGCCCTAGGCTGATACTACAAGGGCCTAGGCTGAGACTACAAGGGTCTAGGCTGAGACTACAAGGGTCTAGCCTGAGACTACAAGGGCCAAGGCTGAGACTACAAGGGCTTTGCCTGAGACTACAAGGGCCTAGGCTGAGACTACAAGGGCCAAGGCTGAGACTACAAGGGCCTAGCCTGAGACTACAAAGGTCTAGCCTGATACTTCCAGGGCTTTGCCTGAGACTACAAGAGCTTAGGCTGAGACTACACAAGGGTCTAGGCTGAGACTACAAGGGTCTAGCCTGAGATTACAAGGGCCTAGGCTGAGACTACAAGGGCCTAGGCTGAGACTACAAGGGTCTAGGCTGAGACTACAAGGGTCTAGCCTGAGACTACAAGGGCCAAGGCTGAGACTACAAGGGCCTAGCCTGAGACTACAAGGGTCTAGCCTGATACTTCCAGGGCTTTTCCTGAGACTACAAGGGCTTAGGCTGAGACTACACAAGGGTCTAGGCTGAGACAACAAGGGTCTAGCCTGAGATTACAAGGGTCTAGCCTGAGACTACAAGGGTCTAGCTTGAGACTTCCAGGGCCTTGCCTGAGACTACAAGGGCCTAGGCTGAGACTACAAGGGCCTAGCCTGAGACTAAGCTGAGACTACAAGGGTCTAGGCCGAGACTACAAGGGTCTAGCCTGAGACTTCCAGGGCCTTGCCTGAGAATACAAGGGCCTAGGTTGAGACTACAAGGGTCTAGGCTGAGATTACAAGGGTCTAGGCTGAGACTACAAGGGTCTAGCCCGAGACTACAAGGGCCTTGCCTGAGACTACAACGGCCTAGCCTGAGACTACAAGGGCCTAGTCTAAGACTACAATGGCATATCCTGAGCAAACAATAATATGAGTGATTATCACATCTTTATGTGAGGAGTTATAATTGGATTTTGTATTTTGTAGTATAAATTGCTATAAAACGTTGACATTGTCCTTTAAGAGGGACTATTGCCTACTAAGAGGGATATATTTGGTCAGAATTATAGGATAGGGGGACCACTGTTGGCCCTATGCTTTGGGAAGGATCAAATGGGGTTCAAAGTCTACAAAAAACATAGGCTGGGAGAAGACTCTGGGACCAGTCCTAGGATATCTGTTTTAGCTCATTCATGCCCAGCAAATGTATACAGTCAAACTTCTATAAACTGAACCTCAAAGATTCAAATTTCTCAATGTGTCAAGCAAAGTCCAGAATGTTTTCCTTATACAAATGTACAACACTTCTAATATTCCATTCATGAATCAAAATTTTATGATGAAATTGTTTTTGAAAATTACAAGTGATTATCTGGAGTAAAAGATTACCTGTATAAAAACATTGATATGTCTTGTCAACATTTCAACAATTTCATGAGCAAGAAAAGTTATTAATTTAATCCTATTAAAGAATACCTGTTTCTATTCTGCTGTAATAACCCACTATGGAAGTGCATGTCTGTAAAAGTGACTAAAATCACAAAAATCACATTTTTGAGAGTGTGACGCATCGTTTGTATTGATAAGTACAGCAAGTTGTATTGTGTGTAAGTAAGATCAATTCAGTGATATTTTTTGCTCAGTCTTACTGCCGAATACAGGCTGTTTCCCCTAGCTCAAAAGTGCCTTATTTTCCCCAAATAGCCAAAAACTAAGGAATATATTCCAAAATTCAATACAAATGATGTGTTATTTTCCCAATACATAAAGAAACAGACTGTAGAAAAAATTAGGTAACAAAAACACTGAAATTACTCCATATAGTTAACAACATCCTATATTGCTCCAACGAAATGGTAGAATACTATTGGTACGATAGAACTGGTGAAACTAATTGTTGACTGGTCGTGACATCACGTCCAGAATTCATGGGAAACAAATCCCTATATAGAAGGCATAAATGTCACCATAATGTTACTGTCCAGTCACTTCTGAGGTGGACATTTGACCTATCTATGCTTGTTAAAAGAACTTAATACGGGAACGCCTTTACTTGCAACCATGCCTCACAGAAGAGTGTTGCTGTGTACCTACCCTTGTCGTAGAGGCACCAACCATGCCTCACAGAAGAGTGTTGTTGTGTACCTACCCTTGTCGTAGAGGCACCATTCCTGTTTCTACTGTTTCCTCGTTGTCATCGTCATCCAGATGAATGTTCACTTTAGCCACATTGTAAGTCTTGCATTGTCGCAGGAAGTCTTCATAATATGCCTAAACATATAAAGGATAAAATAATTTTTACTGTAATTTGCTTCACGATACTATACAAATCACAAAAGCAACAAAACAAAAACAATGAAGTTAAAATCTACATCAACAAGAGATTCCAGAGGGATCTTGGCACCAACCATTGCAGGTGTAGGACATAGATGGAACAGTGAAAGAAGTTCAAGGTCATTCGTATGAAGAAACTTCCCAGCACTCCATCCCATAAACCTACTGACTTTGGACCTCAGGGGACTTTAAACAAATATTATTTTTAAAGCTTCTTGCACCATAAAAACTTTTGTTGATATTTGACCGCAGTCACTACGCAGTGTTGACCTTTGTACTCAACACTTTATCTAAGAAAAAAATTGCATAAATTATCATAATATTGTCGAGATTCAAGATGGCTGTAGACCTTATATTTCTTTGAACTAGAAAACGTCTGTAAGACATGAATGGTCCTTTGGTTGACCTACATATAGAAACAGTGACCTTGAAATTGACAATTTGTTAAGAAATGAAGTTGGTAGTGTCATTACAACGAATTGGGACGGGAAGGACATGATTAACGCAACTCCTCTACATAAAACTGTTGTTTAAATTTTTAACATTTAGCTGACCCCTGTAATCTTGAAAGGAAATCAAGGTCATGTAAGAAACTTCAGGAGAATATTCTTCAAGCTTTTTACACGTAATAACCTATGATGACATTTGATCCCAGGTAACCCTCAAAGCTGACATTTGATCCCAGGTAACCCTCAAAGCTGACATTTGACCTCAACCAACACAAGGTAAAAATGTGGTTAACATGAACTTGTGATGTCATTAATTATGACAAGTTAGTAACAGGATACATTCTGGATAATTAGATATAACAACTACCGGGTAATTCTTAATGGATTTGAAAATGCTGTACAGGCTGTATACCCTGATAGTTAATCTTACATTGATAAGGGGAAGATCGCATTTACAATACTCATGATCCGATACTGATGTATACACATTTGTTTACCAATATTGAGAACTTTAAGGTCTTAATACTGATTGGCTAAAGTAAAAGGTCACCAGAATGTGGCCTTTGACGTTCTTAGACATGCAGAGAATCTGAGTGAATAAGAATTTACTTTAAACAATGTTGTATTTAAGCTTAACCTTGACAAAAACAATGATGCTGAACTTTGTCCTTGTAATAGACAGCCATCTGATATGGTACTGGCCTTTGTCCTGGTCATGTACAGATATCTGATATACTGACTGACCTTTGTCAGGTCATGTACAGAAATCTGATATACTGACCTTTGTCAGGTCATGTACAGAAATCTGATATACTGACCCTTGTCAGGTCATGTACAGATATCTGGTAACTGACCTTTGTCCTGGTCATATACAGAAATCTGATATACTGACCTTTGTCCTGGTCATGTACAGAAATCTGATATACTGACCCTTGTCATGTCATGTACAGATATCTGGTATACTGACCTTTGTCAGGTCATAGACAGATATCTGGTATACTGACCTTTGTCAGGCCATGGACAGAAATCTGGTATACTGACCTTTGTCAGGTCATGTACAGATATCTGGTAGACCGACCTTAGTCAGGTCATGGACAGAAATCTGGTCTACTGACCTTTGTCAGGTCATTGACAGATGTCTGGAATACTGATCTTTGTCAGGTCATGGACAGATATCTGGTATACTGACGTTTGTCAGGACATGGACAGATATCTGGTATACTGACCTTTGTCCTTGTCATGGACAGATATCTGGTATACTGACCTTTGTCATGGAGAGATATCTGGTATACTGACCTTTGTCATGGAGAGATATCTGGTATACTGACCTTTGTCAGGAAATGGACAGATATGTGGTATACTGACCTTTGTCAGGACATGTACAAAAATCTGGTATACTGATCTTTGTCAGGTCATGGACAGATATCTGTTATACTGGCCTTTGTCAGGGCATGGGCAAAAATCTGGTATACTGACCTTTGTCAGGTCATTGACAGATGTTTGGTATACTGATCTTTGTCAGGTCATGAACAGATATCTGTTATACTGACCTTAGTCAGGTCATGTACAGAAATCTGGTATACTGATCTTTGTCAGGTCATGGACAGATATCTGTTATACTGACCTTAGTCAGGTCATGGACAAAAATCTCGTATACTGACCTTTGTCAGGTCATGGACAAAAATCTGGTATACCGACCTTTGTCAGGTCATTGACAGATGTCTGGTCTACTGATCTTTGTCAGGTCATGGACAGATATCTGTTATACTGGCCTTTGTCAGGGCATGGGCAAAAATCTGGTATACTGACCTTTGTCAGGTCATGGACAGAAATCTGGTATACTGACCTTTGTCAGGTCATTGACAGATGTCTGGTATACTGATCTTTGTCAGGTCATGGACAGATATCTGTTATACTGACCTTAGTCAGGTCATGGACAAAAATCTGGTATACTGACCTTTGTCAGGTCATGGACAGATATCTGGTATACTGCCCTTTGTCCTTGTCATGGACAGATATCTGGTATCCTGACCTTTGTCATGGACAGATATCTGGTATACTGACCTTTGTCAGGACATGGACAGATATCTGGTATACTGACCTTTGTCATGGACAGATATCTGGTATACTGACCTTTGTCCTTGTCATGGACAGATATCTGGTATACTGACCTTTGTCAGGTCATGGACAGAAATCTGGTATACTGACCTTTGTCAGGTCATAGACAGATATCTAGTATACTGACCTTTGTCAGGTCATGGACAGAAATCTGGTATACTGACCTTTGTCAGGTCAAGGACAGATATCTGATACCTTGACCTTTGTCCAGGTCCTGGACATGTACAGATATCCGATATACTGACCTTTGTCCAGGTCCTGGACATGTACAGATATCTGATATACTGACCTTTGTCCAGGTCCTGGACAGATATCTGATACCTTGACCTTTGTCCAGGTCATGGACAGCTATCTGATATACTGACCTTTGTCAGGTCATGGAGAGCTGTCTGATATACATGTACTGACCTTGCCTGTCCTAACAAGTTGAAGTCTGCTTTTCGTGACTCTTTTCTGTACAAAATATCCCAAAAAGGCTGGAAGAAGCATGTACCTGAAAATATAAAAAACATACACTTTTAATCATTTAATCATACTTGGAGAGAAGGCTTGTATCACTCACCTGGATATTTCAACCATCATGGCTCTACCTCTCAGCACAGAAAAAGGGGGAGGCGGCAACATCTTTCCTTAATAATTATAACACTGATTACCTAGTCCAAACGATGCTTCATGATGATCAAAATATGATCAACTGAACAAAAGAATTAAGCTTTTAAAGACTTGCCTTGCCCATCAGACCCCAGAAAAGCTACACTCCTCCTTTACATAACAATTAATTCCCAGGTCCCAAGAACCCGGGATGCTCCATAGCTTTGTTTGAGATCTGTATGTATTATAGGACCTAGGTTATGACCCAAGGGAAGGGCTAGAACCCATTGTTGATCTTTGTAGCTATTTTCATTCATTCATGCCCATCATGTAGTTATAAGATTTTCTGACTGTTGTAAAATCAGCACTTTTGGAGCTCATTGTGTATCAAAGGAGGATACTACTTCATGGAGTAGAGAGTCAACTACAATGAGCAGTGAGGAGAAGTGACTTATTACACCATATTAATGTGATTCTAACAAGCATTACTGTCTATCTAAACACACATTAACTACACAAATTCTTTATATGTATTATTCTCTTTGAATTGGAAGGTAAAAAAAAATTCTGACAAATGACAAGTTATATTAAGATTAAGAAGATAGGACTGTTAAATACTGTACAACTAAATAAGTCTAACTGTCTGTTAAATGTCACCATTCTAACCGTCCTTTGATACGTCACCATTCTAACCGTCCTTGGATACGTCACCATTCTAACTGTCCTTTGACACATCACCATTCTAACCGTCCTTTGATACGTCACCATTCTAACCGTACTTTGATACGTCACCATTCTAACCGTCCTTTTAATACGTCACCATTCTAACTGTCCTTTGACACGTCACCATTCGAACATTCCTCTGATACGTCACCATTCTAACCGTCCTTTGATACATCACCATTCTAGCCGTCCTTTGATACATCACCATTTTTGACATGTCACCATTCGAACCGTCCTCTGATACGTCACCATTCTAACCGTCCTTTGACACGTCACCATTCTAACCGTCCTTTGATACGTCACCATTCTTACCGTCCTTTGATACATCACCATTCTAACCGTCCTTTGACATGTCACCATTCGAACATTCCTCTGATACGTCACCATTCTAACCGTCCTTTGACACGTCACCATTCTAACCGTACTTTTAATACGTCACCATTCTTACCGTCCTTTGATACATCACCATTCTACCCGTCCTTTGACATGTCACCATTCTAACTGTCCTTTGACACATCCCCATTCTATCCGTCCTTTGACATGTCACCATTCTAACCACTCTTTGACATGTCACCATTCTAACTATCCTTTGATACGTCACCATTCTAACCGTCCTTTGACATGTCACCATTCTAACTGTCCTTTGACACATCACCATTCTAACCGTCCTTTGACATGTCACCATTCTAACCACTCTTTGACATGTCACCATTCTAACTATC